CTTGCATTGACCAGTCTGGTTCGTCCTCTAGCTCGCACATCATTTCGAGCACGAGCGGCGTCAGCAAGCTCACTCCGTTGGGCACCTGCTTTCGCACCATAGCAGGTGCTGTCTCGCAAAGGGTGACCATTGCCTCCAAAGCCAACTGGCGCCAGTTATCTTCTGCATCTGCGTCACCCACAACCTAACCACACAAACAATGCATGTTACTCACACTAATCACATAATTATGTGGAGCTACATTGCTAGCATAAAATAGCAACATTGTCATCAAGGGACTGACACCCAAATGTATAAGGAACATCGGATGCTAATTATCTTGTTATTTTTTCTAGTAAGATTCTTTGCAGCTACATCATAAAAATATAGCCTCTAAGTAAAGGATCTTACAAAATATAATATATTTATATATGGCATAAAAATGTTAATATTATTTATCCTTGAATCTACAAACCTTTATGCACACTTGGAAGATAGGCTCTAGTTGCGGGCGCAGGAATTTGGGAGCTGATTCAGCCAGTTCAATAAGAACTTTCAAGGCAGAATCATCATCACTCTTCTCAATGGACTGAACCACAACCTGTGGAATAAATAAATTATGAATGAATTTATTTTATTTTTTACTTTTTAGGATGAATGTACAGTTGTGGTTTACAAAACAATGTAAAATGTACAAAATCTTTTAATGATTCTGTTTATTAACTGTACATTGCAACCAATACATTACTAAACTTGCAGTCCTATTATAATTATTAGCAAATGTCTTGAGAGGTACTATCAAACTCCGTCCTATTGAGAGGATGGTGTTAGCGAATTCTCAAAATACTTTTGCACATACTGGCAGTAACACATTTTATAGAAAAAGTTTACGTAAATGATGTGCTGAGCGCTGATTTATATCGCGCTAATTAGTTTGTGATGTTCATTTAATAGGAATAATAAATTATAACAAACTTTTAAATGGTTATGGGTAAGTATAATTTTATGTAAATTACACAATCCTAAAGGCAGTTATTGTTGTTGTCCTTTGTTAGATTAACATATTAGAAAAGTTATACAACATCAAATAAAAAAAAGAGAAAGTAAAATATTCTCAAGATAACATTGATATTCATATTCAAACAGTGAATTCATCTGTAACACTACACCAAGTACCTACAGTATCAATACAATAGAGTGATAAAAATGAACTATCAACCAGTTGCTCTAAAAATAGAGCCAATTGTGATCATTCAATGTCAAATTCATAGTGCATTGGATTTACTAGTGGTCAATTACAGTTTCCTTGCCACAAAGTTATGATTTCTAATTTATATGCTAGAGTTCACTTAAGTTTATTCCATGTTCAATGTTGTATTTAGACTGTAAGGTTGCGGCATTAGTATTGTGGGTTTGATTCCCACATAGATCACTTAATGTGTGTATTCCACATCCTTATTGTTCCTGGCTGGTAAATATGTATGTGATATGTTGAATTTTTGCGTAGTATCTAGTTATTTGAATAAGTTACCTGCATCAGGGGGATCAGCAAGTCACTGAAATGTTTGTGTATGGCAGGCTCCTTGTCATGGAGTAATATGAATGCACCAACTGCCTTCACTGCTTGCGTGCGGAGTGCTTCTGATGTGGACTGAAGAGCAGTCAGTAGCATATGCTTGATCACAGGAAGGTTTTCATTTTGACGGTGCCCAAACACGCCAGGCACTGATCTGTTTCCAAAGTCAATAGGTTCATTAGGTTACTTAGTATTTCTACACATAAAAATGAAAAAAAAAATAGTACTAGTTATTCCCTAGTATAAGAATAAACTATTGCAAACTTGACATAGAGCCAGACTTTACAAATACAAAGAAACAAGTATTGATTCTATATCGGGGATTATTAATTTGTATTGTCATACTTACGTAAACATTCTGATGCCAGCTTCTTGGATGTTGGGATCTTGGGCACCAGCACAATTAAACATGAACTGTAGAAACTCTGGCCATTGGTTAACACCATCATCATCTATGTGGTTTCTTGCCAGTTCTGATACGACATCACAGATCTAAATAAAGGAATAATAACAATATTTTTATTACAATGTTTGTAGGATAATACAATTGAATCAAACATAACATAAACAATGCTTTCTATGGCTTGAGAATCATTTGTCAAACAGCCAGTCAAGGCAAGAAGTCCAGTCATTTAAATAATTATTATTGTAGTATGTATTCAATTACTTGCTGGAATGTTATTTGTGTGACTCATTACATTGGGTAGATGTCTGGAGAAGTACTATCAAACTCCATCCTATTGAGAGGATGGTGTTAGCGAAATTCCCAATTTAATATTGCACATACTGGCAGTAACACATTTTAAGATAAAATGTTTACGTAATGATGTGCTATAAAAGTACATTTGTAATTATATTCATTCTATCTAGGTTGCCATGTAGAAGTTATTGTTTCAAGAATTGGGGTTCCAATTATTTGTGCAGAGCATTATAATATCATGCTTTGGCTTAGTGTTGTAAGTTTTATTTTGAAACATTAATAATGTGATAAACTAATAATTAACTTAAGAACTCTGGCCCCTCATCTAATTCTAATTTGATTGCTTTGCTTATATAATAAACATAGGCAGAGATAAGAATTTATACTTAACACAAGAAACACAAGGACAGGAAATCTTTTGTTTTTTAGTAAAATTATTAATGATCTTATTGAGAATCCTATTGTAATATTAAATTTTAATATGGTACATTTGTTAAGAACAAACATGAACCAATAGATTTTATGATAATAGTGTTTTTTATGGCTTCAAACTACACAGTATGCCTATGGAATGCGGATGAGTCATCCTACTCTGTACTCATAGAATGAAATTAGATTAAGTATGTACACTTGATTCAACACATGACTTGCTAGAGAGCAATTACATGTAATAATGCTATTTTTTTTGCATGTTACAGTGATTACTAAAAATTATTATTTTAATCAACTTCATAATTATAAATAAATACCTAATTATTTTCTATAAAACTTGGTTTCGTATTAGTATATTATAGTGTTTAGCAATTTACTTTTAGAATGGAGATATCACAACAAAACTACTACCTGGCAGTATCAAGAATGTATTGAAAATTACAAGTGCAAAAATGTCCATATTTACAAAACAAAACATACCTTTCGGCGAAGTTGTTGGCTAACATCCATTTGCAGTGTGTGAAGTAGTTGTTCTCTGAGCACTGTCTGTTGCTCAAATGGTAGTTTAGGGAAGAATTCAAAGAACTCTGCGCTGAGCAATCTTCGGAGCAGCACAGCTGCTGTTTGACGTCCTTCTTCACCGACATCAGCATTTTGGATAGCTCCCACCAAGTGTACCACTTTTGTTTCAGTTGGTATATTATTGTATGCTTCCTGTTTAGCAAAAAGTTTCATACATAAGTTTAAGATAGGATTATGAGCTAAATATATAGTGATAACTCTGACAATTTATACACCACAATTTCTATAATTCCATTGCCACTAATATGACCTAGTATCTAATCATTTAATGCATTATATTAACAGCTTTAGTATGTGCAAGGTAAAACATTATTTTTTATTTGAATTACTGAAATATTACATTGACACAAGTAATAAAAATATTGTAATTGTTGACTGCAATTTCCAATGCTTAAACCAGACATCATTGTGTATGGCATTTAAGTATTTATAGGGTTCAATAAAATTAAAGGAGTAAGCCAAAGCCCCGCTTTTTTCTTTATCTAAATAAAGAGGTAGAACTTAACAGGGCTAACCCTGTTAAGTCAATCTTTTTGTATGTGCTCAAAGACACTCTTTACATGTCTTTTCTACATTAAAATGAAATTTCAAGCTTTGACCATCATAAAATCAAGATAAATACAAGAAACATATACTACATACGACACTATTAAATAAATCTTATGTGAAAAAACATAACCAGACATTATGAAAACTAAAAGCGCGTTTTTTAGAAAAGTTGTAATTTCTAGAACTAAAGCAGTGCGTCATCGACATTTTTGCTAGGAACTGTTAAAATAAGTTGTACATATTCAACTAAAGACTTTTTACTGGACAAAACGACAGATATTTTGCGCTTTAAGACCGCATGTACAATTTGAACGTTAACCCGGCCGCAACAATACATTCGTTATAATTATTAGCGTTTAGCAACGAGTAAACGTGAACAAGTGAATTATTCAACTTTAATGATTTAAGGACAAATCTAAAACACGTTAATTTCGTGTTTCAGTAGAGCAATAACAGAATTTAGTCGCCGTTGTTTGAAAAGTAACATAAAAATCCTCCATGACCACGTTTTGACACGAGGCTCGAAGATGATATTCATCTTACAAACCGGCCAATTTAGGCTTTTTGAAGCTGTAATATAAACAAAATGTAAAACACAATGAGTACTTACTTCGGCTTGGGATCTTATGTCGTTATCGGTTGATAATAAAGTATTTAGTAACTGGTAAAATTGCGCCTGATCTCCTGCCATGTTGAACCTCTTCAAAAAGGCCCAATTTTTTTTTCATAAACTTTTATCTGGCTGGTCACTTTACTTCTTAATAGTGTGTTGCCAGTATTTTCTTATTTTGTTTAGTCGAATAATTTGTAAGTAGTAGTAGCAGTAGTACATTGCGATTTACAATATATTTTTTAAATAATTTTGAAAGAATAATTTACAAATTCAAATAAAAATTCTGAGTTGATAAAATAATTTCTGTAAACGATGTAATGTTTAAAAATAACTAAGACACAGAATAGCGTTTTCGTCTCGCGTTTTCATCGAAATAAAAAGGTAATATGATATGATAAAAATGGCTTTGATAACTTTTAAGGTTGCTTAGCATATTGAAAATCTGCAAGAAAAGGTATGAGTTTACGGATAAACTTTGCTGTTTTCCAGTGAGGAATTGAATGGGAAAACAAAGTAAAAAAAGAAAATTCAATTAAAGTAATTTGTCTATGCTGAACCTATACTGAACTGTCAAAGTCAAATATACGAAAAAATGCGTTTTGCAATCATTTCAACATTTTGCGTAATATTGCTATAAAAAATTGTTTAAAAGTATGCGTAATTTATAGAATCGTATGCTTTAAAACACAAGTGTAATTGTATAACATTAAGATTTCGGAAATCAGAAAAAAATGGTAAGTCACCCGTTCAATTCTGAAATTTAATGTGTACTTAATATTTTGATACTCAGCAGGTTTAATGTTTACCAAATTCTATGTATCTAACTACTAAGTAAGCATTTCCAAATCAATTTTGCATATAAACAAACTTAACTCAATTACGGTAGAAGTAAGAAGGCTACCTTAACTTACTATTTTTTTTTGGTGTTGTGCTAAGTTGCGGGTCGAGCGCGATAATGTACCGTAGCTTCGACCTGGAGCAGAAGGATCGGCGTGGTTTTTTAGTATCTGATACTGCTAGATCAAAAGAATTTGGTGATTTTCTTTCCAAAAAAACCTAATTTTATCTTTATTTATTTACTTGTTTGCAGGCAAGTTCAGTCATACTAGCGGGGTTAGGCATGGCAGCAGTCGGGTTCGCCGGCCGCTACGTCTTACGTCAAATGCCCAATGCCTCATCAAAATTTGCAGAAGCTGTAAGAAACTTACCAAAATTTGATGCTGAAAGTTTAGCCCATTCTAAATATTACAAAGGAGGCTTTGAACCGAAAATGACAAAAAGAGAAGCTGCATTAATTCTGGGTGTCAGTCCCACCGCAAATAAAAATAAAGTGAGTACACCTGTAGCAGGTTTGTTAAGTAACATTAAATAACAAGTATTTTTGACACATTTAATTGGTTGCAGATAAGAGATGCGCATCGAAAGATAATGCTTCTAAACCATCCAGATCGAGGTGGCTCTCCATTAATTGCAGCCAAGATCAATGAAGCTAAAGACCTCTTGGAGAGTGGAAAGTCATAATGGCAACATGTGATTAGTAGTAGTGATTACCTGTGTACATATAAAACAAATAAATATAGAACAATGTAGTGAACAATCATAAACATTGGTTGTTGGAGACACCTGAAAATTGTAGTCAAAAATACTTTGCTGTAAGGGTAATATAATAAATAAAATCCATTTGAACATCTCAATAGTCTATTCTGTCATGTTGAACATCCAAATACAGATTTCATAGCCTATCCTAACAGTAAATTGGAATTTGGGTAGAGTAGCTTGCTAATCACAGCACAATACACAGGATCCAAAGAGAAAACCATCAAAAGAGGTTATAAGAAAATACATTCATAGTACATTTACTATTCTAAACATATTACACATTTATTAATGATGAAACTGTTGACAAAATTTATTCAAAAATTCCTATTTATGTACTATTCAATTTAGAATTATTATGATTGTTATGAGTTTTTAAATTTTAGTGCGTAGATTTATAAAATTGAAAATTTTGATTTAATGGTATGTGAAATTTACTGTCCACATTTTTGTATTTCAAAATGTTAGTCAATGTCTAATGGCTGAACAATGTTGGTGTTATCAGAGAAACATTTTTTTTTGTATAGTACAATCATGTAGTCATGTTTTACGACTTCTCTGCCTACCTCTTTGGGGATTTAAATGGTGTGACAAATGTAATGTTGATATATGACATTTTATACATATTCCTAACATAGATGATATTTTTGAGCAAATAATTAAAAATCAAGCCATGTAAAACCATGTTTTACTTAGCATAAAATTATGTTTAGCTATGTTGAATAGGCTCTCACATGAACAATAAACACTTCCATTATTAATAATCACCAAATTTAAAAATATTATAATATTATCTAATAAATATCAAAAACTCTCATACACACAGAAACCATCATACATTAATTTTTAATCAATGATTGTATGATTTTTGTAGTTAGTTGCGATTGCATACATAAATATTTAGCACCTATTTTTTAGTCACATAATACATAATATATAGAAAAATATATTTACTGTGCAATAGTTACACAAAAGAACCCCAAATAATAAGGTTGGCAAATATTTTAATTATGAAAAATATCAATCATTAGCCTACATTAAAAACTTAAAGGACATCAGCCACTTTAAGCAAAAGTAATAAATCTAGTCAGCCAATATAAATATGGTGTGATTGTAAAGAACTTGAATGAAGAGAAAGTATTATTACATGAAAATTTTAAGGTATATTCAAATGCATGTAGTAAATTTAATATTAGATGAAAGTTCTATTACAATATCTGGCTGACAAGTAAAGTCCTAAGTAAAAACTGATTGATGTGCTATTCCTTTACTTTTAGTGAGAAAGGAACCAATACCCACTACTAGTTAGATTAATGTTAGTTCAGCAAATCTAGGCAAACTCATACCTTTTACTTATTATAACCATTTGTTAGTCTGAAAATTATTAGTTAAATAGTAAAATGCTCACTTTGTTCATATCTTATGTTACAATTTACAGGTACAAATCTAATAAAACTGACACAATAATTAACAGCAAAAAAATAATACTACAAACAAAAATACTTTAATGATATGTAAAACAACATTATAAACTTAACACTAACTTAGCAAAATCATATGCAATTCCGATGATTCAGTATCGCAGATAACGCTGAAAAACCACATCAGCAACAACTAATGTCATGAAGTTCATTAAAATATATATTTTGAGATGACTGATCTTTCAGAGCATATCATTAGGAGTTGTCATGACTCTAGGAAATATTAACTCAGTGCAATTCATTTCTTTGTCCGGTTTCAATAATTAGCTACTAAACATGCAAGGATATAAAGACTAGTAAATGTTTGTACAAAATCGCAACAAGCTCGATTTACTTTGTTTCATAACTGCGGCGACTAGATTTTCGCCATACAAAGCTATTAAAAACAATTTAAATAAGCTATGAATGTAAATATTTCAATAGCCTAAACCTCTCTATATTTCTATCCTATGAAACATAAATTCGTAGGATTTGAATAATAGACCTCATTTATTTACTTGTTGTTAATAAAAAGTACAGAGATCCAAAATATATTGTGTCATAGTGTATAAGTAGAGGTGTTAAGTAGTGGTGTATAATGTACAATTTGGTTGTGTGGCTTGAGATCAGAACACGATTGTCGGCGTGGTCAGCGAACAGCTCATCGCGGTGGCTCCTTCTGTTGCTGCTCACGGCGCTGCTTCGCGAACCGCTCTCTCAGTTTTATTATAGTCGAGTTCGATAGAGAGCCAGGTACAACGAATATTTTCTGAAAACAAACACAAATATTGGTGTTGATTTTCTTAAGTATAGAAAGTCATTATTATAGGACGTATAAGTAGGCAGTATTTTTAAGGCACCTTACCAGAGCAGGAAAGTGTCGACATTATTTTGGAATCGAATATCAATAATTCATAATCTCTATTTTCCTTGCTAAACAGTTTTTTTATTATTAGTTTTTAAAATCATGCCTCGTACTACAATTTTTCCTGTGTCGTGGGTAAGTTTACAAACGTACTATTTCACATTCACATCACACCCAGACCCAGGACATCAATTTGTTTTTGGATCACACAAAGAGTTGTTTCGTGCGGGAATCGAGTCCGCGGCACGTTGTGCGGCTGCCAGTTTTCCAGTCACTGCGCCAATCGTGCAATCAATCAAACAACGCAATATAACAACACCAAAAAGCCAGGAATATGTATAAAAAAAATGAACAAACCTCCATAAATTCATGACAATGCAATGCGCTGTAATCCTTTACAATGGCCTTGAAGCACTCCGCCAGGGATGTGAAGTCATTGCATGACATTATCTTTTGTCTATTTTGTCGGATTAGCGTCAAACATACTCTGAACAGAATTTTTGATCCTTCGTAGAATAAACAGTCCCATATTCGTAGTACCGTTTCGATGGGGAGGACTTCGGCGAACAGACAGACAAACCATTTTGTTGTTATTACTGCCCATGGTAGACCTGTGAAAATGCAATAAAGACATTGATTATAGCGAATACAGGCATGAAAAGTATAAGATTTAATACATTTACTTTCAGAGATATCTCATATAATTTGAAAATTGTAACAAGTATCTTGGATTGTCAGATACACAATCAACACACCTGAGATTATACATAGCTCATGTGATGTAAACTAAATTGATTGTAGGATTAGGGAGATAAAATACCTCAGGCATGTTTACTTTCAAGGTGAAGATCATAGCATCTTCAATGTTAGTGATATTGTTGTTTTATTTTTTATATATTTTTAGATAAAACAAAATATAAGTATAGGCTCATCACATAATCCCCACAGGATTAAAAAAGGGAACAATGGGGTGAGGTGGATATAATGTCCAGTGGGGAGGCAAGACTTAATTTTAACGTGGACAAGACAGATTTTGCGAGGCACTTTTCTGTGGCGACCTGAAGACGAAAACTAAAAATACTTGAGGCGCGAGGCTCCCTGTACCGCGAGGCCGTGGGCGGGTGGCCCACGTTACCCACGCCTTACGCCACCTCTGCTAATGTCGTCCACAATGTGCTGATAAATTTTAGGTATATATATAAAAAAAGTAAATGTTGCCCTATATTTGTGAATCCAAATTGAGATTTCTTGATTGGCTTGAACTGTCCTATGACAACTACATTAATATATTATTATACTGATATACAAACCTAAATTAATAACATGTTGGTGTACATCAGGCACCTTGGACTTGACTAGTTCTGACAAAACCTCTATGTCCACAATGAGGCCATCCATTGTCTTTGTGTAGTAATCTGGTAAAATCTTTTCAACTAGAACTTTTAACAGCCAGAATGACGTCTCTTCATTTTTAGTCGCCAGAAGCAGCAAACCTTTAAAAGATTAAGAATATAAGTACATTAATGTTACTAATTTACCTCAAAATTTACTTGTACTTAATATATAAGAAGACATTATCATAACATGTGATATAATATTTCAGTGAAAATTGGGTATCAATGCCATTAAGATAATATCATATTTATTAATTATATGACACAATAAATAATCATTGTATTGTTTTTAGTTTGTAATTTATTGTAGACAGCTATTATTAATTTATCTGTGTATAGATTGCGTTGGCTATGATAAAGCATAATAGTGATAAATATTCTGGCAATCCATTATATTAATCAGATAATTCAAATGAGTTTATGAACAAAAAATATGAATGTTATGTTAATTGTATTAACTGCAAGTTGAAAGTGGGCATTTCAAATGTTTCCTTAATTTTCCTACAAAAGAGAAATAAGTTTGATGAATATTTATTTAAAAAAAATCCAAATAAGTTATTAATTTATAAATTAGCTTTAAAGGGTTTTTTTATTTCAATGAATAATTAAAATTGTTTCACATAAATGGAGAAGTATTTAGCAAATGAATCATATTATTAATTATTCAACAAGTGATTTGTAGTTGAATATGAGGAAAAGAACTTGCATTGCATAATACAAAATTGTAGAGCTCTGAATTAGCAAAATTCTTATAATTCAATCTAAATTTGCTTCAGCTAGAGTGATTCATGAATCCACACAATATATGCAAATAAAAGTTAATTTGTTTAAACCATCTCTCTCAATCAAATTAACTATTACTAGGGTAATTAGCAGCTTTAGTCATACAATACATTATAAATTTTTTTGTATATTAATCACTTTGGCATTTTTCTAGTAAATTGGTTCTTTTAAGAACTTAACCACAATTAATAATGAGACAATTAGCCCCTATTTACTAGTTGACCTGCTCTGATTGATGTGAATCTTGAGGTCGAAATGTGGAACACTATCTGAGAGTGTGTAGGTGGTAATGACACCTAATAAGTTCAAGGTCAAAGTTATCACACTGCAAAATTACTCAACTTGACTGATATGATTATAATTTTACCAAGAAGATGAATAATGTCAAAAATGAGTTCTATTGAGTAGAGTATAAAGTTAAATTTTAATAAGTGTGTAAAAGTCTTACCCGCAATATAATTGAGTCCCTGGCAGTAGCCTACTACTCTGTTGTTGTGTGCATATGCTATGAGTATATTAAACAAGTGTGTTTGATGGTTGGCCTCTTTGGTGAAGTAAATATTGTCTGGAAATGTGCGAGGCAAGTCTGTCTTCACCAGATCAACAAGTTCCTTTTCAAATGGTCCATCGAGAATTTTTTGGTATAAGTCTGGAGATTGTTCTTTCATCATTTCTGCCTGAGAAATTGCCATCCATACTGAAGGTCGGTGTTCACCTGAAATAAGTTTATATTTTTGTATGTGTGGTTTTAATTTAAATAAATGGGACATGAACTCAGACAAGCAAAAAATAAGATGTAATTATTATGTCTAGATACAAAAACTAGTACCTAATACTAAGACCTTGATGTTTTATCAACACAGCCTTAAGTCATATAACTTTTTAAATGACTTGATAGCTATATAATATAATTGAACTAAATTTGAAAAGAAAAAGCATCTATTCAATTTATAAACAAAACTTTTCTTTATCCACATACTTCTATGGGTTCACAATATAGCATTCATAAACTATTTCTATAAAACAAAGCACAAAAATGAAAGTGCGTCAAAATTCGCACGGCATTTAAAGTAAACAAAGAAAGATACTCACTAGGTATTCCTTTGCGGACGTATCTCTTAACAGTTGTCGTGCGTTTGACCGACTTTCCATCATCGCCAAGTAGGATGGCCCATTTTTGCGCCCTCGATGCCAGTACCTTCAAGTAATTTGACATAAAAGCCTCGTAGCTACCGTAATCAAAGTCCTCATGCCTCTCAAACCCGTACTCATCGACCGCACTAAAAGCAAAAGTATGATAATTTAGTAAACACTTCACTATTATTATGACCAATTTATTATCAATACACAATACAATTAGCACAATACCCGAAATATGACTTTGCCATTGTGTTCTTTATAATGGATTAATTATCAGACGCACTCAACAAGCATAATAATTTGTGGATTGGTTTTTGGTTAAATACGCCCCGAATACCCCACTCGTCACCCCCACATGATTGATGCAAGTCAAATCAAAAGTCAGACGGAATCAATAGTTTGCATTGATAGGATAGAATGAATCTCGACGCTCAGCTCGAATGAAACTGAATGAGGTGAGCTGAGAATGACTCAAATTACACTGACAATTGACATTAATCAATATGACATGTTTAACTTCGTCCAAAATTCAAATTTTGTCATTGAAACGATTGGAAATAAAACAAAATATAGTTTGTTTTATTAAGTCATCATTTAATAATATTTAAGACTTTATATGCCAGTCATACCTAATTTACTGTTCTGTTACTATAAATTCTAGTATTTTTGCCAAATGCTGTGATTTAGAGTTTCAATAAACCCATTTACTACACCAATGCAATGTCATACTGACATTTATTTGACACTGACACTGACAAAATAATATCAGCAAGCGAAATCATCAATTTAATATTATATCTATAAAATCGAATATTCGTGATATTATTGTATTGTGAAAGAGAACTGAAAAAAGAAAATTAGTTTTAATTTTAGTTCAATTTACTCGACACGGGAAAAAATTATCAGAACATCGATAAAATATGGGTCCACCGCCTGTAGTAACAGGAATATCACCAAAAGAAGGTCCTCCAGGAACCAGGGTTACGATCCGAGGAGAATTTCTGGGTACCAGTGCTACAGACCTAATAGGTATGGAGTATATTGTTTTTAAAATTGATCATTGCGGATCCTCAATCTTGTTTTCCTACAAACTTGTTCGAGATGTGGGCGTAACACATATCTTTCATATTTGTTTGATAGGTTTGAAGATCTGTGGATGTGATTGCTTACTGTCAGCGGAATGGAAAAGCAAGAACAAAATAGTAGCACGCTCCGGTCCGTGCAAGGGTCGGGGCGATATTATAGTGACCACGCGTTTTGGTGGAGAGGGAACTTCAACAGTGCAATTTAGAGGTAAACATTGAACCTTATAATACTACTACTAATAATATTGAACCTTATAGAAATTGTACAAAATTTTTCTAATAAGGTAAGAATCTGTTAAGTGATTGATTTTCTGTTAATCACTATATTTGTATTTCCAGGTTATCATGAATCCATAGGTCCTGTAAAAGAGAGTGCAGTATGGGTAGAGGAAGCAGCCCCTCCATCACTCCCATGGGGTCGGCGACCTATGTCACCTACCACTTATACTCCCCCTGACCCACTGGGGCTCTCCACTGAGGGAGATGACTGTAAATTCCCTGAGGAAGAGTTGAATGAAATGTTTCCTGATGGGTATGTAGACTTACACTATTATATAAGACTGTTATAGTTCTAAACTAACCAGCAGTATATATTAGTCTAGTAATACAGGCTTAGTCAGAGTGACTCAAAAAAACTATAGGTATTTCAAATGCCTAATAGAAAAGAGGCCTTACACAAAAAAGAGGTTATTTGAATCCTGAAACTTATGCTTCGATAATAAGGTTTAATTTTGAAATAGTCTCATTTATGATTTGTATGATATAAAATTAAATGGCATATGAACTCTTCAGCTGTACTCAGTCTTCATTCTGTACCAGTGTTAAAAACTTGTAATAATAGAATCAAAAATAACAGGTTTCAGTTGTATAACTAAAAATATGTATTCTACTTTCTTTCAGTTCTGGTAAGCTGTCTGATGATAACTTCCAACCTGGCTGGTATTTGCTGGAACACCACAGCAACACTTCATATGAGGACCTTAAAGCTGGCATGGTATTTTTACAAAGAAAGGTATGTGAATCAATATTAGCTCAGGATTAAGATAAGTTTTGTGGATCATGCTTTTTTATTTTTATTATTTCTTCTACACACATAACAGTCTGAATGGTGGACTTAATTCCTTAAGGACTCTCTAACAGTCAGCCATAGATACCTTATTTGTTTCAAACAATCACAGAACAGAAAATTAAGTAGAAGTGCCCCTACACTCTTTCAAAAGGAAAACCAGTGTCGCCAAAATCACACATTCGCAAATCAAATTGTCCATTACACACATAAAAAACAGCTATATAATTGGGTAAAAAGATGAAACGCAACTTTAGCAAATCATCTTCTAAATGTTGTTAAAAATTGAGTCTTATAACAATGAGCGAAAGTTGTTATCATTTCACATGTCACAATCAATAAAGGCGTCTATCGTGTAAAAAACTTAAATAAAACAATTTACAAACGGGTCCAGCCACTCAACGCTAGATGGCGCTGAAACAAATTCATTCTATTCAAAACGCTAACTCCTTTGAAATAGATGTCATATTTGGATGCACTTGTACCAATAGACATTTACTATTTTGCTACTCAGATAGGGCAGGGTATCCCAATATATCGATGTTTTTGTATTCCTGTGAGCAATATAATTTATCGACACGATATACCTACAAATGATCAGTAATGAAAAAGGTTCTAATAGAAAAAAAGAAAAATCTTAACATATTTTTTGAAGATTTAATGTTTTTTGGAGATGGTCAAGTTATTAATAAAGATTTCGATTTTAACATATAAAAGCACTACGCGCTCCTACAAGTTTTATCTCCTTTCCAACTAAAATAGAATCATTAAAATCGGTTCATAAATAACGGAGACGAAAAAACAAAAAAGAAAATGTTACAGTCGAATTGAGAGTCACTCTCCTTTTTGGAACTCTGATAAAAATCATGTACAACATCTATGTACTTATAATAAATCTGTAGAGGGGTCAATTCTGTACATTAAATATATTTTCAAAATAACTACCAGGGGGTGATTAGTGATCGATACTGATGCCAAAAATGCAATCAGTAAAAATTTTGTCTGTTTGTCTGTCTGTCTATATGTTCTTTATAGAAACAAAAACTACTCGACGGATTTTAACAAAACTTGGTACAATTATTCTTTATACTCCTGGGCAGGTTATAGGATACTTTTCATCACGCTACAAATAATAGGAGCAGAGCAGTGAAGGAAAATGTTGGGAAAACGGGAGAAGTTACTCCCTTTTGTAAGTTTCAGTCGCGTGTGTAACCTTAATGGTTAAACTTACATAGAAATTATGTATGACGGAAATATTTTAAATAAAATTGTCTAAAAAAATGTTTTACAGCATATGTCTATCTTTTATGGTTAACTCACAATAGCACGTGTAACTCTTGATAGCTTAGAAATTCGGATAATAAGACATAGCGCCGTCGCAAGTGAACACTGAATCATGGTATAAGAATTATTTTTGTGTAGCGGTTGCCGTGCTCGACACGATGCGGTATAAAATATAATATAATATAGGTTTTATCAAATATTTGTAACTCTTACCTATTAGTTAGATCCGTACCTTTCTATCTATGGACGGACGGACTGCGGAGACTTAGTAAGTAATAGGGTATTTACCCATTGGAGATGTACCCATAAAAATGAGACGATAAATACCAAATTTTATGTATACTTAGATTTTGTTCTATTGCTATTTACTGTTTTTTATCAACACGGCACGCGGGCGAAGCCGCTGGCGAAAACTAGTTATAAAATAAAAATGGTGATTAACCACCCGCACCTGCCACAGACGGATGCACGCTGTGTGTGGTTAAAACGTTGATGTGTCTATGCAATCTTAGTTACACATTTATGAATTATACACAAAAATTGTCAAAAATCAATTTTCTGAACGATGATGATGAAAAATTATCGATATGAACCTATTTAACGAATATGTCGCATCCCTAAATGAGTAGCGTCGAAACTACTAGAATGTATTGTATATAACGTCACATAACGAACAAGTAGATTTAAACTTAATTGTAATGAAAATAAGGCCCTTTATAGTTTGCATTGAAGTAATGAAATGTGATATTTACATTAAAATCAAATATATTTAAAATTAACAAAGGTTAATACTCAAAGATGATACGATACACCACCACAAGACTCATCTTTTTTCTGCTTACTTTTTTGCAGTTGAAAACCGCACAACAAGGCATAATTTCTAATATATTTCGTGTTTCTTAGAGACAACCATGACAACCAATCATGACAACGGATCAAACGATTCTGACAAATGTGCCAAAATGTTGTATATGTAGTCATCATGTTGGTTAGCGCGCGATGTCTGAGCGGCACTTCCACTGTATTTTCTATTCCGTGTAAACAATGATAAAAAGTAAACTCAGGCAGATGATCTGTATACCAAAAACTGATAAAAAATGTTATGCTACCAGAACATACACTCCATATCAAACTCGTACTTTACAAATTATATTATATTTTTGAAATAACAATTTTTTTTTATGAATAACGGTTCCCAAATTTATTTTGAAACTAGCTTCTGTCTCATGGCACTCGCTGCTCATCTTATACAAATCGTAGCGTGATATTTTATAGCTTAGAGGCTTCCTCGATGAATATACTAACAAACACAAAAAGAATTATTCAATACGAACCAATATTTCTGGAGATTAGCATGTTCAAACAAACAAAAAACTCTCCAGCTTTATAATATAAGTATAGATTTAATTACTATTATCCCATACTTATTATTTCCAGGTGGAAAGTCAGAAGGAAGGCCAGTTAAGTTTCCTGAAGGCAAACACAGGTGCTGTCATGGACCAATTAGACCGTCTTGTTCTGCTGAAGAACATGTATGAAGAAGACGAGAGGAAGAATGGCAAGGAACCACTGCCTAGCCTTCAGGCTGCTATTGAGGGTAAATAGTAATTGTCAACTCTTGAAAAGCCTGTGAAAATATCCTAATTTCTTAAAATATAAAATCCAAAATGTCTCTTTTTGTATAACTGGCTGGCTGGATAAATTCATGTTATGTATAGTTAATAATGGGTATAGAATTGTGAGTTGCAAATTAGTGTGTATCATTTTGATCACATATTTATATACAAAAATATACTATATAGTAGGATATACATAAAAGACAAAGTCTTTTTTTTTGTGTTTTGGCCGGCAAACGAGCAGTAGGATTACCTGATGGTAAGCAATCAGCGCCGCCCATGGACACCCGTAACGGAGGAGTTACGAGTGCGTTGCCGACCTTTTAGGGATTAGGGATTTGGAGATTTAGGAACTAGGGAGGGATTGGGAAGGGGAAGGATTGGACCTCCGGTAACCTCACTCACACGGCGAAACACAACACTATGGTTGTTTCACGCCGGTTTTCTGTGAGGCCGTGGTATCACTCCGGTCGAGCCGACCCATTCGTGCCGAAGCATGGCTCTCCCACACTAAGTATTGCTGTTGACTCTCTCAAAAACATTTAATTTTCAATTCATTTCAAATTATGTTTAGACTTCTTCAATGATCATTGATCATATAACATTTTGAATAAATAAATCAATTTTTATAATTCCAGAATCAATTACACTGGCCGACTCTCTGTTCTCGGAAATATTATCCAGAAAAGACAATGCTGATAAGACCCGCGAGGCGCTTTCATTATTGACGCGTCACAAGTTCCTGTTCCAACTGCCTGCATCCATAGACAGGAATATACGGAAAAAGGAGTATGACCTTGTGGTCAATGATTATACCAGAGTCAAGAATCTCTTTGGAAATACTGATGTTAAGGTTGGTCTTGCTTCTTTATTCAATATTCTAATGAAGACTTGACTTAACTAAAAGTAAGTTATTAATGTTTTGAAAGAGATATTGATATTGATTGCGCGATTGTCACGGCTAGCTGGCTGCTGCAGTAGGTGTCGCGGGTTCGATTCCCGCACGTGTTGTTTCAGGTCTGGGTGTATATTGTATGTTTGTAAACGCATCCACGACACAGGAAAAATCTCGTCGTGTGGGCAACGATTTGTTAAAATACAAATAAGGTAGTATGCAATAAAGGTAGAATCTAAATTCCAAGTAGCCTTATTCATTATTTGAAAACTCTTCATCTGTTTGAAAAACCAAACACGATATTTGTCAATGTTGCTTATCACAAAAAGTGGACCAGAGTAGATATTATATGTATACCTCATGATATGCCTACTTACTATTTGCAAATATGAAAGTTTCAAATAACATTCTATCATTGAAACTAAAAATTAATAATATCATTGAGATTGAACTTGGAAATAAGTGAAAATTATTTTAATCCTTACAGTTGTTTCAAAAAATTCTTGCTGAAATTGACAAGAAAATAGAGGATTTAAAAGAGAAGCTGTATACAAGAATGAAAACCATGCCAATAAATGTCCAAGAACAGACAAAATACATAAGGTAACAATCGTATATACACCTAGTAATTGACTATGGTATGGTATTGGTTTAGGTAATTAACTAAATGTAAACAATATTGACATGTTTTTTTATGACAATCTGGAAGCATAGGTATCCTTTCAAGCATAAAAAAAAAACGTCCATAAACAACGGAGTTCTGAGGTAAAAACCACAAAAAACAAAAAAAAAATACAATCGAATTGAGAAACTCCTCCTTTTTTGGAGTCGGTTAAAAAATTAGTCTTAGAATTGAATGTAAAATATTTAAAACCAGGTATTTTTTACATTTAGTTTATAAACTAAATTTAAATAATCTGTGTATGTATTTTATACTATCTCTTTAGTATAAAAATACATACCAATATTGTTTGCCTTTAGTTAATCACATGAACTGATAGACCATGATATTACATTATGATGTTTTGAAATATTCTTTTGATTAGGTTATTCATTAGTAACTAGCTTTTGCCCGCGACTCCGTTCGCGTGAAATAGTGACTTCCTTTTTGGTATAAAAGCTATCCTATATCCTTTCTCGAGTTTCAAACTAAGTCTGTACAAAATTTCAAAGAAATTGGTTCAGTAGTTTAGGCTTGGAGAAAGGACAGACAAAGTTACTTTCGCATTTATAATATCAGTAAATATAGATACTATAGATTATTAAAGTATTATATAATGTCTTACAGATTACTGATAAGTTTGAATTGGGAGGGCGATGCCGCGTGGGTCGCTATAACTAGTCGTAAAGAGTACCTTATGAGCTTGATGAACAAAGTCAAAGATCATTTCAAGCAGAAAGAGGAACTGGAGGCCAATGAGAAAGGTTTGTTAAAAGTTTATAATATTATGAGTTATAAAGATATCTAGGATGTGTAGCATGTACAAGGCATAGAATATTTTAAGTAGTGTGCCTAAATGTTATGCAAGTGTAAGAGATATATAAGAGATATAAAGTGGGATCTGTAGTTTTGTTTCTCCACCGATATCTTGGCGGCAAAGGCTTTGAGTGTGTACTTTTATACTTAAACTACTTAGAGTGTTTAAAAATAATGTTATTAATGTTGCATTTTTTTTTCAATTGGTACCTATTTATTTTATATTTTTAAATAATTACACATGTCTGTGTAATCTACACCTCTTGTACTTAAATTGAATAGCTGTTCATTAGCATGTACCGCAAAAACTTCTAAACAGCTTGATCAACCTAGTTATTTTTGGTCTCTCTATTTATTAAAAAAAATGCGAGTACTTTTAAGTATATAGTAATACTAAATACGATAACTGTGTAAGTGACATTAAGCATTTGGCAAGAACAGAACAGTCAGTATCGGTAATTTCAAGGCGGGACTAATTCGCTAGGTCGGCTAGTAAATAAGAAACGTTGCAGGTTTTTTTTTTGTGAGGTGATAATCATCAAATGCCTTCTCCCGCCAAAGGTCGGGCGGGGGGGGGGAGAGGGGAGTGTCAGACTTACTGACTAAAAACCTCCCCGTTCTTTCTCCTGCTCTGGGCCGAGGCCGCGTGACCCCATTGAGCTTACCCCGCAATCTCGGCTGAATGGTTGCAGGTAAGCGCAAGTTGAAGGAGAGCGAGTGCGCGGGCGGGTGGGGCGCGGTGCGCGGCGCGTGGGTCGCGGCGGCGGCCGGCGCGCTCGCCGCGCAGCTGCACGCGCTCTGGCCGCTCGCCAGGCGCTACTTCGCCGGCGAGCTCGCCGGGGAACCCACCTCCGCGCAGCGACAGGCAGACCTCAAGGTATGCCATGCACGATTACACTCCATCTTCAAAACAACAACCTATCTAGATCAATCATGATTTTTTAATCCATTCTTAGCTACGGTAACAACTTCCAACAGGTATTAGGAAGAAATAAAGAAAGAAAAACGATTTATTTCTACTTACTATTATTAACTATTGATTTGTGCTATATACATACACATAAACTTAACAACTACAACAAAATAATAATACAGTAATATGGAAAGGGAAGGTAAAAAGAAAATAACAGAAAAATGTAGGGCTCAATATTACTCAACTATCCAAAACGATTTTAAACTACATAACAACTTTAGCCATGATAATGAAATGGACTGTCAGGCTTGGGCACTGATTGGCTCGACTGGCATGATACCACGACCTACAAAAACGTTTGCGCTATGTGGTGTCCTGTAAACAAGGTTGCCTTTGGAGAAGGAACAAGGGGGAACTTCTACGTGTTGCGATGATTTTTTTACCCATCAGGTGATTAAAAGCTTTGTCATCCTATCCTATAAAAAACTATCTTTTGGCATAATTATCAAATTACTTCTCCTATAAAAATCACCCCGTTACGTCTCCTGCTCCAGGTTGAAGTAGCGGTACTCATTGGGTGGCCTTATCTTTGGTGGTTTGATTTCACATTGAGTACACGTAAAAAATAATAAATTTTACATATTTCAGGAAATGATAATAGCAGCAGTAGAGTTATTTTCCGAGCACATGCGAGCCTGCCTGCTGTCTCCGGGCGGCGGCAAGTTGGTACCCACTGATACACTGCGCGTGCGACTCGTAGCTAACCTCAGGCATTTGCGGGAGGCGTACGATTCGCTACTCAAACTGGACCTACCTTCGCAGGTATTCTTAGCTTACTAATCAATACACAGTATTAAACAAAGTAGCTTTCTGTCCCTTTATGTATGTTTAAATCTTTAAAACTACGAAACGGATAATGATGCTGATTTTTTAAGAGATAGAAAGATTGAAGAGAAACCTTTATATGTGTAATAACATTAATTAAATGGCGGAGATATTTAGTATCAGCTATCAGCATTACAACTGTGCGAAATCCGGGCAGTCGCAAACAAAAAAAAAAACATGAACGCATAACAATGTATTTAAAGTTCAAATATTTTTGAAGTTCAAATTGTTATGGAAAATCCGTTGGCTTTAAAATCTATCTACATAATTAAATGGCAACCTGTTAATTGGCTTTATGGCACAAAAATACTGTACTAAATATAGCTATGTCACCGGAAAATAACAAGATCCGTAAGTTTATCAATTTACTAGGAAGTTTATAAACTTTCGTAAGATTCTAAACGGGAGATAAATTGTAATATTTTACGTCCACATTTTCGTAAATTGATAAACTTACTGAACTCACTCGTAAAATAATAAGTAAGCAGTAACCAAACGCTACGCGCGATCTGATTGGTTGTCTGTCACGTGTCACTTCTATGGACACAAGCATTGCCACTATTGACCAATCAGAGAGCAGTGTGTTATTTTACGTATTTCAAAGATCGTATATTTAAAAGAGTTTCTGTGATTGGTCGAACCATATAAAATCTTACGAATAGATATTCGTTAGTTTATAAATTTGCCGTATGACGTCGGAAATTGATAAATTTACGAAAATGTGGACGTAAAATAATACAATTTATCTCCCGTTTAGAATCTTACGAAAGTTTATAAACTTCCTAGTAAATTGATAAACTTACGGATCTTGTTATTTTCCGGTGACAGCTATAAATCTCAGTAATTTCAATTTTCTCTGCCTTTTATTCTGTTGTGAAATTTTTCCGTAACTTTATCAATAATTTATAACTGCACAGTTACGTGAGTGATCTCGTAACTGTATGGCAAGATAATTTGACTAGTCTCGAAATCTATCTTAATTTCTTTTTCAATAACTTTGTTTCTAAAATTTCTAGCCTCTAAGTATAGTAGAGAAGGTGATATTCGACTACCGGGTGCATGGTATGACGGTCTTCCTGCAGCGAGCTCACAAACGCGTGAAGGGGCTCGCAGAGAAAGAGACTTGGAAGATCGAAGAGTATTCTGACTATGGAGCTATTACTAACCTTGTGAGTAGATGGCAGGATGAAATAGACTTATAGAGCAGAGTCCTGCTATATATCTTCTTTTATTTATATGATAGGTCGGCAAACGAGATGACAGATTACCTGATGGTAAGCAATCGGCGCCGTCCATGGACACCCCGCAATACCAATAAAGTTACGAGTTTGTTGCCGGCCTTTTGGAGATAAGTGTTTCGGATATTTAAGGATTGGTACAGGGATGGGAGAGGGATTGGGCCTCCGGTAACCTCATTCATACGGCGATCTCTGAGGCCGTAGTATCACTCCGGTCGAGCCGACCCATTCGTGTCGAAGCATCATGGCTCTCCCACACTTGAAATATTAGCATACTCTTCTATTAAATGTTAGTAGATATTTTATGTTGAATTCAGATTACGCTTTGTTGCAAAACTACCATGTAAATTAACATATTGTAAATGTGAAATTGAAGTCTACCGTGGTGTTTTTTTATTAATAAACAACTCATTTTAACGTTGGCTTCCTCTAAAAGTGAGACAGTGTAGGCTAATTAATAAAGAAAGAATAATTATACTTTGTGAGTTCAAAATTAAAAACTCTGTGAATCTGAAAAAAAGATCTTTAAACAAATGTTCAATATTAAAATACTTATTTCCAGCCACATCTATTGGAAACATATTTGAACGAGGCTTTCGCAGCAATTCACAAGTGTGTGGTGACTAGTGGTCGTCGCGAGAGCCCTCTACTGGCCGACAACAGTGAACCGGCCGCCATATTGCAGAAACACATTCAACAAATACTTTTGGCTTACGTCACTGTGCTACAGGACCTGGCTTTGAACCATGAGGACCAGGTAAATTATCGTGACTCATTATTAACTACGAGTAAGTTTTATCTTACAATTAAGTCCAAATTGCTTAGTAAGGTACTTATGGCTATTTTCTCTCCAGGAGGAACAGTTTCTTTAGTCAAAACTATGTTGCAAATAGTTCTTTTTTTCAGGCTACCATGGTCTCTCAATGTAATTTTGACAACAGTTATTGTAGTCTGCTTGTACGTGTTACTTTTATTAAATTTTAAAGACAGGCTTTGCCGTTTTGCGACCATATTGCCAGATAACAAAATCACATTTAAAAATACTAATAGCCTTACTATTAACTTGCATAAAAGCTTAGCATTATCCGACAATAGAAATGCCAGAATTGAGTGCCGAACACATCAAGTCTTGAAATTGACATAGTCTTGTACCTACATGTTTTTATATTCAACTTTTTATTAAGTTTCAACGAATAAAATGATGTATGTGTTAACGGCCTACTCATATTATAATTTGACGAGGAACTCGACTAGTCAAGCTACGCTAGCGGTATATATTCATGATTAGCGTTGCGCAACACACGATGCGGTAAAGGTTGCGCAGTCATCTGATTGGATAGTTGCGTTATGCGCAGGAGTTCAACAACAGTAACCTGTCTGTGGCGCTGGAGCAGCGCGCGGAGGAGGGCGGGGGCGCGGGCGCGGGGGCGGGGGCGCAGGGCGCGCAGCCCGCCGCCTGGCAGCTGCGACTCTTGCTGGCCGGCGCCAACGCCGCATACACCCGCCGCCACACCCTCGCCGCCATCGCTACAGCTATACACAAGTACGTGATCTCTTAAACTTGCATGCCCCCACCAATTAAACAGATTTTATCAAATACAAATACAAAATTCTCTATTGTGGTATATAGGTAAGCAAGCAATTAGGTTATATAATATATTACGTTACGTTTATTTTTCAAATATTGTACACAACTCTGACCAGCCATAATGGCATACAAAAATTTTTAAGTGTCAGTGACGTTTATAACAAAAACATTGCACAATCAAGTAAGTAGAAAATAATAATAATTGCAAATGCTCATGTAATCGCCATAACTCAATAGCAGCCACCGCTACGTCAGCCGGGGTTGCGGAGTAAGCGTAATAAGGCGCCGCCACCTCGGTCTAATGCAGGAGAAGGAACGAGAGGGTTTCTAGTCAATAAGAGTCTTTTTTTATGTAATTGGTGGGCAAACGTGCAAACGGATTACCTGATAGTAAGCAATCAGCGCCAGGACATCCGCAACGGAGGAGTTACGAGTGCGTTGCCGACCTTTTAGAGATTAGGGATTTGGAGATTTAGGGATTGAGGAGGGATTGGAGGAGGGGAAGGATTGGGGGAGGGGAAGGATTGGGCCTCCGGTAACCTCACTCACACGGCGAAACACAACGCTGTGGTTGTTTCACGCCGGTTTTCTGTGAGGCCGTGGTATCACTCCGGTCGAGCCGACCCGTTCGTGCCGAAGCATGGCTCTCCCACACTCTGGCACTCTCTGAGAGTCTGACACTCCCTCTCTCCCGATCTTGGGCGGGAAAAGTAATTTGATGATTTCTTCCCTCTCAAGGAAGCCATCGCTACGTATTTAAAGCTCGTCGCGTGTGGCCTTGTTGCTGCCCGACGTTTTTGATAGAGCTGGATAAATGAAAACACCTTGTTGATGCATAAATATTTATTTCTTGGCCTCTAAATGCGAGATTACAGTGAGTCAGACTTAATAAAAATATTGTATTGCATCCCATTTCAGTTTTGTGTTCAATCTTAGGTCACGCACAGAAGAATCCAAAACAACTTCTATCTAAGCCTCCTGCCAACTAAGTTGTAATTGTCAGAATGTATCTATAACATGCCATTTTTGTCAATGGAAATGGTTGCATCAACTGTGCTATCAAGAACTGATGCATTCAGAAATAATTGTAAGCTTGAGTGAATGTAAGAATTGTGTGTGTGAGAGAGAAAAAAAAGAAAGAAATAAGATGGCATAACTTTGGGTGTGAGGCGTGTGCTCTGTACTCGGTTTTATTCGAAAAATAAAAGACTAAGTAAACGACTGTATTCTTTTTGGAATGCGGCGACAAATTTTGTGATGTCCAAGTAGTTTATTATATAAAAATTAAAAGACCCGAAGAAACCGCCTTTAAAATATGTATGTATGTGGAACATTTTACAACTACTTTTATTTTTAAATTTGCATAAAAGGTGTGTTGATGTTGGTGTTGTTGTCCTGTTTCTCTGTTTTATAACAAATCACCTCTTTCCAAACTTCAACGCTATACAGGTACGCCTATAAATAAGATGTCTAAAATAAATAAACAATCATAATGTTAAAACTATTCCAGTTTCGGGTTCCCCAAGCAGACGCAAGCGTTACAGGCAACAAAAGAAGCTCTTAGTACATTGGAGAGTACTATCGCTGAGACGTATTTGGAACACAAAGGTGACCCACTAGTGGGTACTATAGAGCCCAGCATGGACATGGGACGACACAAGACTGATGCAGACGCCATAGTCGACGATGCACGACCTTATGTCTACGAAATCATCAACAACCTTATTGCTGTACACGCCGAGGTAATGTTCTATTTTGCAATTATTATTTTTTTTCTCAGTGGAAAATCAACAAATGACTTCTCCCACCCGGAGCTTAACGATTAACGGTTCGGGCGGAAGAGAGTGTCAGATTCTTGCTGACTAAAAGCGCCCCCGTTTCTTCGCCTGCTCTTGGCCGGGGCCGCAGTGTCTCATTGCGGTTGCCCCCAACCCCGGCTGAATCTGCATTAGTAATAATAGAAATGTAAAGCCATGTCAAATCACCATGGTTGCTCAAGGCGGATTAGTAATTACAAATTTATAATTTTATTAGAAATTATAAGTTTAGGTTTTTTCTCGATGATTGTGATGTCTCCTTCACTGACTGTTTGGTGTCTTACAACCTTAGAAAGTACATATAACCCATTTGTATTCACCTGATTTCATTTAAATCTCGTGGTCATATTCTCTGTGCCTGGTTGCGACCTCCTTCATAATATGAGAAGAGGTCGCCTTAAATCTGCAGCCTACCACGACTAGTCCCAGTTTAGTATTTCAGTTATATTTTTGTCTAATACAATACACGTTTATGTATGAGGACTACTTTTCCAAATTTTATTTTTGTAAAACTAAATGTTCTTAATAATATTACCATGATTTAGTTTTCGGTTTTAACACAAGAACATATAAATAAGTAGTTTAGCCATTTATTTTATGACTGCCCCTAACTTGAAAATCATAATGCTCACCCTTGTAAATGTTTAAAACCGGTAAGTATTAACAAAGAAAGGACAAAGAGGGGGTAACCTATCTGCCCTTTCACACAAACATTTTAGATTGTTAACTAGATGGCGTTGGGATCGAAATAGATCGCGCTATCGTTTGCTGCACGGCGTTTGGTTAGGTCGGCGGAGCGAGCGAGTCGAACTAACTTTGCGCAGAGGCAATATCGTAACCAATGAGGTTAATCCGAGGTGCGATTATTGCTAGTTGAAAACTTTACCAATACCCCGCCGTGTGGACGTGAAATACCGTCCGCTATGGCAATTTTTGAATGGCCGTAATTGGCCTAAGATTGACATGTAAATAAGTATTAACCATTGATAGTTTATGCGTTGTTTTGATAATAAAACAAGTTTGTCATGTGGGTAGTTTTACTTTTACTACAGACTTATCGTTATGGAAGATAATCATTAGCAAAATTACCATTTGGAATTGGAAGTAATAGGAATTTCGATATGAATTAATAGGTATTTCAAAACATTCGGATAATTTCATTACTTTGTAGATAGGGCATTGATTATCGTTACAATAAAGTATTCACCATAACCATACGTATTTCAGGTGGACAGTGTAAGCGGCGCGGCGTCCTCACGCTACGTGCGAGATATTTGTGAGACGGTGTGTGAAGAGTTGGCGAGACTGGCAGCGCTGGGGACTCCGGGGGCTCCGATGTCGCCCGCTGCGGCCTTCCAAGCTCGGCTGGAGTACACACTACTACGTCTTGCTTGCGCTGAGCATCTCACCCGAAAGGCTGAGTAAGTACACATTTCTCTACATAGCAAACGTTATCATATTGAAACGCCCCAATGATAACTAGTGGAATATACGTTATTAGAATGATCCACCTTCACTAAAGACTTGATGAATGACGTATTTTTGATGTTATTCTTAAATTTTTTGGTGTATTTTTAGTCTAGTTCGAATAGATGATTTGATTTCATTTTATGATGACACAGATGTGATGCCTAATATTAAAATACCGTGATCACTGAAATTAGAACACGAAATTAGGTCTTCAAATAAAAATGTGGTCTGTTTAGTAATTGTATATTGCGACGATTACAGTGATTTAAGAAAAGTGCCAGGGAATAAGCGATGGTTGCCGATTGTTTGTCTGGTCGTAGTGATGCGCTAACAAACCAAACGGTCTATTTGATCCGCATGGCTCTCCCACACTTAAGGGTAATGAACCAATTTAAATTTCAGAAACCATTTGATGGAGGCCCTGGCTGGTATACCTCCCATTGAAAGCGAAGAAGAAAAAAAGTAAGTGTAAAGTATATATGAAAATTAATTATTTATAGCGATAAAACCTTTTATGATCATCATATACTGTCAAGCAATTTCATTTCTTTGATTTTATAGTATCGGCAAATACACTGATTACTAAAGGTAGTGTTATATTTAAATAGGACAAGACTGCGCGGTGTCTCTGGTTTGAATCTCGCACGGAACAACTCTTTGTTTGATCCACAAATTTGTGGGGCATATTTCTTTTTAAATAAACGGAATACAAATACAATTAAATTTGTAATTGTAACCCATGAAGTGTCTTATACACGGTGCGTAATAGATTTGCACCCGACGTGCCATATGTTCCGATGTCGGGACCTAATCGAAATGGCGGACATCACGTCGTTCAAATCTATAACTACTGTAATTTGTTGACTTAAAAAATACTTCTATAGACAAAAATACACTATAATCATGACCTATATTCTCAGATTTTCTATGATGTATAACTTAATAAAAATAAAAGAAAATTTGAGTAGGTATCATCATCATCGTAGTTTTCTAACCTAAGTCGTAATGAAACAAAAAAACATTTTAAAATTTCCCCGATCACTACCGGCATTCGCGCGTGCGTGAAACCATGCGCTCTTTGGGTTGAGTTTCATAGATATTTGATTGTTTTAAAGTATTTACGTAAAGATGTAGAAGTTTTAAAAGCTACCTGTCCTTGTTTCACAGACGAATGGACACAATAGTGCAAGGGTTTAAGAAAAGGATGGAGCTACAACTCGCTAGCCTGAACTGCAACATGGAGACTGTGTAACGTATACAAACCTAATATACTTAGGTAGTTCGTAGACTAATAAATATGTAGTATATTGATTGCTATTTGTATAGTAGTTATCCTCAAACATTCTAAATTTAAATAATATTTACATAAATAAACATTATCATCGTGTATTCTGGACGTAGTTATAGGCTCTCGATGTCTCGAAATCGATCGAGCATCCTCGATTATGATTTATGTATACAGTAAATGTTATTTAAATATAGTATTGTGTTTATTAGTAGCTAGATCGATGTATGGTTGTATGTATTATGTATTTGGTTTAAAATCAAAAGCTTTAAAAGTATTGTTATTTCGTATATTATGGAAATATAATTATTGATTTGTATGTTATTTCGTAATTATTAGGTTATAGTGTCAGCTTGTGACTTTAAAATGAATTGTAAGAGAATTATAAACTGTTTTGGAGAATAAATGCAAGATGAAGAAGGGCACTGTAGTAAAAACTTTCAGTTTCATATTCTTTGAAAAGTATATCTTGAAATTTAAAGTCCTAAAACAAAAGTTCTTAATATAATGACCGAAAAAAGTATCTTATAACCTTAATATTAGCAATGTAAAAATGTTGAAAAATATATTTGTAAATTATATCAAATCGCTCTTTTGTATACTTATCTGATGTTTATTTATTATTTAAAAGACTAGTATAAGATAAAATATTATTAAGTTTATTAATAAAGTAGGTTAATATTAAAATATATCGTATATAAAATCAATCGGCTGTCTCTTTCATTTTATCCCTGGATTGCTCGTTCATGTAACTCTGTAAAAAATAAAGATTTAGGTACATTTAATTTTTGGTAAATATAAAACTAATTACAAATGCGTATTACCAAAAGTTTTGATAAGTGCATTACTCAATAACTACTGTACCAATTTTGACAGTTAATTATGTGTTGTATTTGTTATTGTCAGGAGAATATTTTATGAAAGTAGCAGTATTCAGGATCAGTATGTTTCTAATAGCATTATATAAGTAGTTTGTATATATTCTAGCATAGCAGTGACGTAAGTATGTATGTATTTTATATCAGTAACAGTTCGAAGCATGGATTTTTCCCGATATAGGTAGGTATTTAGAATTGACTCGTGACTTTGAGATCAATATTATACCAGACCAAAAAAGTATGATATAACATTTATTTTGACTAAATCTTTCATTCTTTACACCCGAAATCACTTCGGAAAATTATCATTATTCATATAATTTTACTAAACAGTTGGTGCGGTGGCCACCTGAATCTTGCTCCAAACAACGGTGTGTGTGATCCACAAATGTTTATACCGGGTTCGAATGAAAATTATATGTGAATTTTATGTTTGTTAACACGCCTATGATAAAATAGAAAATCCTTATGTGAAGCAACGTTGGAAAAATCTTCTTATGTATAATATAAAAAAGAAATGCTGTTTCCGAGTCCGCTAAAATTATGTATTCCTGGATATTCAGGTAAGATTTAAACGGTCAGAAAAAATCTAAACAAAAAATTTAATTATTAGTTAAGTTATATCTGAGGTGGTATGAAGTTTGCGGGGCAGTTTGTATATAATATAAGGCTTCAGGAATAATAATAAAAAACACAGAATAAATACAGGCTTACATCGTGGCCTTAGATTACCTGTGCAGCGAGTTTGTGCAAGTGTGACGCCATGGACGGTCCGGTTTCAGACACCATTTTACGGAAGTAGCCTTTTTTGTTCTGCAGCAATACGTGCGGGTGATCAAACTCCATTAGCCGGCCTGCGTCCAGTACTAGTATCTGTAATATCATTTTCAAATGAAAAATACATCACAAAACTAATAACAGAGCAAACATATAAAAAAACACACATAAAACTATTGAGTCTGAATGATTTTTAGCACAGAGATAGATAATAGTGTGGAACAATACATAGGCTACTTTTTAGTCTTTTTATTTGGTACTACGGACGAGGCCGCTGGTAGAGGCTACTATTTAATATAAATAAATAAATAAGTTATAATATTAGTTATGGCAATTCTTTTAGAAATATATTCAATTACTTTCAATCATAAGCTTATAGAAAATTATCAAAATTTTTATAGACTTTAGGCCAGTACGCTGTGTAACATAGTTTTACTTTTTTGCCCGACTCTTCCCAAATTATCTTAAAAAGGTTTATTGTACAAAAGACACAGAACTACTTTCGCACTTATAATATAGGGCATAAAGACTAGGATCGAATTATTCCAACCTACCTTATCCGAATCTATAATAGTATTCAATCTATGCGCTATAGTTAGGACGGTGCAGTTGTTAAAATGTAATCGTATGGCCGTCTGTATGAGCAGGTCGGTCTCCGCGTCCACGTTGGCTGTAGCCTCGTCCAGTACCAATATCCGGTTGTTGTGGACTATGGCCCTCGCCAAACACACCAACTGTCTCTGACCCACGCTAAAATTAGAACCACCTTCTGCCACTTGCTTGTACAAAAGACCTGAAAAGATTGTTCATTTGGTTACCTATTACAGTTTTTTTATCATTTCAAGTAATCTATAAAGGAAAAACAAAGATTTTTAAATATTTAAGTCAATGACGTATAGATTTATACATCATTGATTTAAGTAGTGTTTTTCAAGACTCAACAATATTTCATATTTTGCACTACAGTGGGTATAAGAAAATATTTATATAACAAACTGAATCTAGAAGAATCTATATCTCATGAGCTCTTGTCTTAATTATTTCACTATATACGAGGTCTCCCTGTCTCCCATTATATTTGCTAACGCTTTTAAGATAAATAAAAAGACACGATTTTACTCTTTGATTCAAATTTTAATGTGTTTATATATAACTATCGATCCGGCCCTCGTTACCATTATCTACCAACACTCTAAGCTCTAACCAAAACTCTTAATTAAACTACCCGCATCATGACACCTCTAGTTTCTTATCAATATAACACCTTAACTCTCAATGATTGAAAATTTTTAACTCATTTTCATGTCAATCTTAGGCCATTTACGGCCATTCAAAAATTGCCATAGCGGACGGTATTTCACGTCCACACGGCGGGGTATTGGTAAAGTTTTCAACTAGCAATAATCGCACCTCGGATTAACCTCATTGGTTACGATATTGCCTCTGCGCAAAGTTAGTTCGACTCGCTCGCTCCGCCGACCTAACCAAACGCCGTGCAGCAAACGATAGCGCGATCTATTTCGATCCCAACGCCATCTAGTTACGTTAGGCGAACTAAAATTTCTTATGAGTCAGAGGGTGACGCGGCGCGACGGCTTCTTCGTTCGGCGATCTTTTGTCATACACTTAGGAATGTGGGGTGATTTTAAAACGCAGGAATAGTATTTTTTGGTTTTCTTTACCCTTATTTAATAATTGTGACTCAATTTTTTTCCAATTACAAACAAGTTTTGACATTTTGGCATTACAATAGGGTCTACAGGGAGATTATTAATTGAGTTTGCATTTATATTTTAAGCGTATCTACAAAAACGATAATCATTGTTCATTTTAAGATAAGGCACCCGCTTATTTATCTAATTGTTTATTTTAGCGGTATACGTCAGCGGTCGCGCCACCAGTATGTGAAAATTGTTCAAAAAAATAATAGTTTCGGCATTCCTCAAGGCAGTATTCTGGGTCCTACTCTTTTCTTAATTTATGTAAATGAATTAAATAGTTTGCCACTTGAAAATAGTGTTATTATCTCATATGCTGACGACACAACTCGTCTATTCTCAGGCAAATCAAAGGCTGTGGTCAATGAACTTGCCCAAAATGGTTTCCTTAGTGTCTAATTGGCTTGACAATAGCCTACTGACATTAAATCCAGATAAAACAATGTAAATGTTATTTGCTAGAAGAAAAAATCTATTAATATCCTAAATATTTATCCACACAATTATCATACATATGAGTACGTCAGCTGTCTCAGCATTTGCTTGCCCTACATAACAAATAACTGACCATATAAAAATATCTAGGTGTCACGATTGACGCCCAGCTTAACCTCCGGAAAAATACTGAGTCATAATTCTAATATAAACTCGTATATAGTTCGTACCTAGATTAATATAAGTTTTTAGAAATTTACAAAATATAGCAGACTTCACTTAAATTCGGCAGATGTATATGGCATTGTGTCAGTCTATTCTTTACTATTGTAGTCTGTCCCGGGGTGGGGCCCCTAAAGCTATCCTTTGGGATTCGGAATAATTGATGGTAGTGTTAAAATAATGTGTTCATTTTAGAAATTATATGTATTAACTAGCACAGAGAATTTTAATAATTTGGTTAGGTACTTAGTCTTTAATAATTATGTTATATGAGTATTATTTTAAAATGATATCCATCATGAAAACTGTTCTGAGCCTTGATAGCTTGAAACACAGGTTTAAATAAATCTAGCTCGGGTGTTCCCTATATTAAAAAATAGAACTGTTTTTATTTATTGTTTCCTAGATTACCTCCATATTTTTATTTTTTTATTTATAATTAACTTATAACTACTAACTTTCACCTCCTTCTTCTTGAAGTTCCACATTGTTCAAAGCTGTTATCAGCACGGAATCAGGATATTCGTCGAAGGGATCCAAGTTCTTTCTTATAGTACCGCTGAACAGTACTGGCTCCTAAAATTAGAATGAAAGTGCATTATATATCACAAGTTCTTTCATATTAAACCTTGGTTTACCATGACCCAACATCTACCTTTACTTATATTTTGAACCTGTTAAGTAATTAGGGTCTAGTACACAATCTCTTAACTGACACATATTTAGGGTTACAGCGTAGATAAAATATCTAAAATTATTTGTCAATTACTTTATAATAATCATGCTGGCTGTATGGCCTACAACTAAAGAGTGGAGACAACATTTCCATTATAAGAAAAAAAAAATTAAAAGACTTTCTATAGGTGGCTCTGATCTCAGAGTAACTAATGAATATAGCTACATTAGTCTTTACATACTTTCAAGAACAAAGTTTATGAACCGGATAAGGCTTATTGAAAATTATAATAACTGTTATATTAAAGTTCATAAAAAACATCATATTTTTTGTATTTACATTGTAATATAGTTTTTTTTTAAAACTTTGCTTACTGTAGAATTTTGTCCTATGTCGTGGATGCAATTACAAACACGTGACACCCAGATTCGAAACAAGAATTTGTGGATCACATAGCGTTGTTCCGTGCGGGAATTGAACCCGCGACTCGTTGCTCGGCAGCCAGTTGCCCATGAAAACCTTGCCATGGGTGCCCATGGGCGGCAATGGAGGCGTTACGAGTGTTTTGCCGACCTTATTAAACTTCCAAATCCCTAATACCCATTAGGGATTAGGGATTTTTGGATTGGCAAGGGATTGGGGGAGGGGAAGGTATGGGCCTCCGGCAACCGCACTCACACGCCGAATACAACGCTGTGGTTGTTTCACGCCGGTTTTCTGTAGAGATGATGATGCATGGTTCTCCCACTTAAAATGAATTTAAAACAATAATACAGTATTTTGTGAACTTCAAATCTAATGGTCAACAAATCCAGTACGTATAGTTAATTCAATTTACTTACTTGTGGAATTATAGATATCTTCTCCCTCAAGTCGTGTAGTCCAATTGCAGTGATGTCAATGCCATCGATGATGATGTTACCCTCTAAATATGCAAGTCTGAACAAAGCCTGGATTATTGACGACTTGCCTGCTCCCGTTCTACCCACGATTCCAATCTGCAATTTAAATATGGGAATATAGACCTTGGGAGCCACATGGAAGTCGAACCAGGGGTATAGCATAATCTACAGATGTGCTTGCAACTACTATACCAACTATACCAAAAAAAGAACTACTTTAAGTTTAAGTGCGTGAGAGCCATTCTCCGACTTGAAAGGGACGGCTCGGCTCAACCGGCATGATCTTACAGAATACCGGCGTGAAACAACGGCAACGGTTGGTTTGTGTTTTTCTCAGTATAAATGTGGTTGCCGAAGACCCAATTATTCACCCATCCTAAAGTCGCCAATCGCCCAAATAAATTCACATATATTTTTTTGTAATAATTTTTGAGTACAAATTTTCTTAATGTTAACCTTTTCTTGAGGTTGTATGTTTATGTTCAATTTGTGTAACACATAATTTCCATCCTGTGCGTATTTTAAGCTCAAGGTATTGAAGATTATTGCTCCTTCTGCAGGCCAGTCTGCCGGGGGGGTTTTCTCTGGTGGCTGCCAACAATATTTAAATTATATTAATACAAAATGTTCTTAATATACAAGCGAATTGTCGAGACAGATGAACTGAAACTCTCTATCAGGGGTGTTAGGGAGCTCCGTAACCGTAACCGAAACTATCGGATATCCGATATAAAAAATCATCCGTAACCGTAACCGAATCCGAAATTAAAGTTTCGGATAGTAGCGGATAGGGGCGGAGCCTAATTGAGACACGTTATGACAATTTGTTTTGATCGGCCTGCCGCTGCCAGTGCCGACACACAAGCTGCGCGCATTGTTTGTTTTTTTTCTTCTTTGACAAATGTGTTGGTTGTGTTACGGAATCGATTGAATTTGTACAAAAGACGTCCTAAGTCGAGTGAAGTTTGGTCGTTTTTTGATGAAATGACCGATTCCGCAAAATGTACCTAAGCAGTGTGGTAAAAGCTTTTCAAGTAAAGGAGGTGGGACTACATCGCAAAAACTTCACCTTAAATCTAGATATAGATAAGTACGAAGAATTTTACTTTTAAAATTCTTAAAAAATATAATATCCGTAACCGAAACTAACGGATAATCCGAAATAATTTATTATCTGTATCCGTAACCGTATCCGGTATAATAATCATTCCTATATCCGTATCAATCCGTAACCGAAATTTCATATCCATAACATCCCTGCTCTCTATTCATTCGAATCAAGCTAAAACCTGGGTCCTGGGTCTGGAACCTTGGTTTCTTCTTATTTCCAGCGGCAATTCGGTCATACCTAATTATGTTATAAGCCGCTATACAAAGAGTTCTTAAGTAAGAGGATTTATGTATTAGAATATAATTCAGGTCGTATGAAGTGCAGGTAGGAATGTTATTGGTGTTCTTACAGTCCTCAGTGCAGGTTCCTGTGGTAACTTGGTGTACTCCAGCACTCTCTCCACGCTTGTCATCTGGTTCTCCATCTCTGCAGACTGACGCATGCCCCATTGGAAGATTCCGGTCAATGATATCGCCTGTGTTATTGCTAGGCCTACGTAGCTACCATCCATGTCTGAAGTATGAAGAATATAATTATAACGGTGAACTGTAGTAATTCAATTAACCATAAAAGAGAAAACTTGGAAAATCAATTATGATCCATATTGTTATGATAAATAATTAATAACATGTGACATACAGACCTGTCTTCATCAAACAACTGAAAGTGACGCACACGATGAACAGTAAGCAAATGAGGTCTAAAAAGAATCCGAACGCTCGGCTGCACGTAATGAAGAGGTACCATGCGGCGCTGTGAAGGTCTTGGTGGAGATCAAATTCCTCGGCTAAAAGGAACTCGGCGCCAAATGAGCGGATTGTGGCCAGACCAAGGATCGTGGCGTTCACGTGCCCAAATACTGGACTGCGAGCTGGTGAACATATTTTAAATGTGTTTTTAAATCATTTTCATCCGTAAATAAGTAATGAAATGAAAGCTTACTGATTCCTTCGAGCCTTTTGACGGCTCCGGTAGTCCGGATATAAATAACGCGAAAGATGTAGAATACTACTATAGCAGCGGCAATCGGAAACATTAGAGTAATATCAGTCATCAGTATTACCAAGACAACGCCCATCAGGTTTAATATTATCTGAGAAATAGGGAAAATTGTATACAAGACCTTTCACATGAGTACGAAAAAAGAAGTTTTTCGTAGTCTAGTTGTTACCTGAAAACAGTCAATCATAGCTTGCGGTAGTAACTCGTCAACAGCGCCCATGTCTTTGCTAAATCTATTGAGAATTCTTCCTGAAGGATTACTGTGGAAGAAGCTCATTGGTGACTTCGATATGGATTCGAACATTTGATCGTGTAATCTAGAATTTAATGAATATATTTGTCATAATATACATTTATGATGTCCTTGTAATTGATGGAAATTACATTTTTTTGATACTGACTTAATAGAAGATTTCATGCACAAAGAAAAGAAGAAGAAAGCTCGTGTCAAAGCGACTGCAATTGTTGTTATTGTGATCACGCCGAAGATAACAACGAAGTCTCTTCGGACCAAACCTTGCTCGGCCCAAACAAGTACGTCCATTGTATTGTCGCCTGACAATTTATCTTCTGCGTTACTCCTAAAGAGGAATACATTTTTGTTAAGAGATCCACACGTGACATTATTACGTGTTAATTAATAACCATATTGCGGGAGAAATTAAGCAAATATCTTTTCGAATCTCACCACCGACTAATCCAGTAATCACAAGCGCTAGCACAGAACTGTGCCAAAATGAACAATAAGCATACGATGATGACAAAGCAACATGGAGCCCCCGCCATGAAGTACTCGCGGTACACGGACCCATGTACTCGACCACTCGCTTGTGACTCTGCTTCTGGCTTTTGATCCTGTCAATTAGGAAATATAAGGTGGTGAAACGACTTGGGCTGATTGTAACTGACAATAAGCAAATATTGTCAAAATTCCTTACAGCAACACTCGTGTCAAGTATCATTGACCAGTGTCGTCTAAGCATACTCATGGCACTCGGCTGCATTAACGTGCTTAGGTCGTTTGGCATAGAATCCTCCTCGCGGATCTCTCGTATATTCTCCTTCATCAATTGAATTATCTTCAGCTCTTTTTCCTAAAAAATCCGGTATTAAGTTAAAGTGTTTGTGCAAAAACAAGGAAAGAATAGTGACTAAAAGAAATTACTTCTAAGTCTTCAAAAGCTCCATTTCCAATTATATTTCCCTTGTCCATTATGACCACATGGTCAACTGCTTTGATAAATTGCAACTGGTGGGTGACGAGCACAACTGTCTTGTTTGCCAAATATCTGATCATAATAATAGTAATTTAATGGATAAAATGGCGTGCGCCATCGCAAAAAGAATTAATTGAAATAAATTTGCATATTTACTTTTTGATGCATCTCTCGAAAATGTGTTTAGCGACTTGAGTGTCGACAGCGGAAAGTGGATCGTCAAGTAAATAAATATCGGCCTGAAATAAAAAGGTACTTTACAGCAATCGCTGAGTTCTCACAGTTGACTTGACTATATTACCTCTTTATAAACTGCTCTTGCCAAATTAATCCTTGCCCGTTGTCCTCCGCTAAGCGATACGCCGCGCTCCCCAACGACTGTTTTATCTCCATGCGGAAACAGGGAGATATCTTTTTCCAAAGCACACACCCTGCATACTTCCATATAACGAGATTTTTGAAATGCCTGACCAAATAGAATGTTTTGACGCACGGAACCTGCAAAATTAAATGCGTGTTTATGATGCAAATATTTGTGAAAATAGAGCTCAGTATAGAAGGCAAAATCATACCAACAAATAACCAGGGGTCTTGACTAGCGTAACTGATAGTGCCATTTATTTGTACGGATCCATTGGTGCAGGGTAACTCACTTAGCACAATGTGCAGTAGCGTAGACTTGCCTGAACCTACTGCTCCGATGACAGTTGTCAGTGAGCCTTTGAATATCTGCAGAAAATTTTCGATATTGTTTAATATATTGTATTATTTATTGAATCACTGTAAGGTACAAACTATATATAGATACCAGCTATATGGAACATATTTTTAGCAGTCGTGTATGAAACAATGTCATGTGAAGGCTTACCGTTAAATCTAAATTGTTAACATCATCTTTGTCAGCAGATTTGATCCACCTACTAGACGCATTTTCAAATTTGATAGCTATTTCTTCTTTACGAGGTTCTGTGTCACGAAGTTAATAAGTGTATGTAAGTACAACATTGATGCAATACACTGCGAAATTACAGAAATGTTGCAATAATGAATTACCTTTTACTTTTTCTTTTATAATATCTTTTTCTTTAGAAGGGCCGGGTGCAGGGTTTCTTTGATAAGGTTTCAGTTCGTTGTGCGGTTCTATTTAAAGAACAATATTTTAATTATTAATTAAAATTATTTTTATCTCTCTAATACAATTATCTCACCAATAATTACAACTCGTTTCTTTCGGACCGGTGGCACATGTTGTACATTAGTCAGCAAGCGTTCAGGTAAACTACATTCTTCTGTGAGCAAATAATCTCTAATTCTTTGTATAGCTACGTTCATTTCTGCTATCTAAAACGGTTAGTGTCATTAAAATACAATTGTATTATAAGTATATCTGAAATTAGAGAGACATTACTGCACTTACTTGTCCAACAGCCTGCGGGAAGTACAACGTCATCGTTTGTTTTGTAATATTGTAGTAACAAGTTAAAAAGAAAACATTTTCGACAGTGATGTTTTTCACATAAGTCACGTAGAGCAACACCGTGATGAAGATACCGAACCGCGACGTGAACATTATGAAAGACATGATCACACCTCGAATGTATGAGGTCATCTTTATGTAGAAAATTTCTTGACTGTCAATGATAAAGAAAAATTGGTTAATGAAACGGTTCCTATCTATTTAGGGCATTAACAATGACTGAATAGCAGCTATATGACAGGTAAATTTAAAAATAGAACTTGATGTGTATGGGAAACGTGAGGTTATCAGAAACTTATATTATTATGAAAATCATGATAAGTCACTTGTACCAAACACATTAAGTACTATTCATCGTCATACCCACCGTCGAACGATATCTATTATTTTTCTAAACGGTTGTTCCCAGGTGTACATTTTAATCACTTCCATGCCCAAGATGATTTCCTTCATCAGTCTCACTCGTTCGTCTGACTTCACTGCTGTACCACGTCTGAAGTATGCTGTGTTCGTTCCCAAGAATACTGAAATTTATATTATAGATACAATCAGTGGATCTGTCGATTTCGAAGTAGGCTATTACAGCTAGGTCTTGTTATGTTGGTAGATACTAACTCTGGAATGGAATAACTGCTATGATGATTAGCGATCCATACACTGCTGGCATACCCATCTCTCGGTACAAATAAACTGTCATAAGCTGAAAATACACCAATTAAACAATTAAATCATTATATTAAATACGGACATTTTCCTTCCGAACTTTGATGATTAATTTGTGGCATATTTTATCTTACCATAGTTTCAAATGGTCCGATCCAGAGGTAGTGTGCGAACAGTGGTCCAGTATCAAAACGATTGACATCGTTTGCCATTAAATTCAAAACAAGTCCGCCACTGTTTTCAGTCATGGCCTGTATATTGACTTTTAGAGCCTGTAATGACATGAGATAGTTACCTATACTAACCAATAATACATTACATGCTGGAAGGTTACATAAATAACGAAATGTTCAAACATACCTTCCTATAAATAAGACTGCATACACCAACCCTCATCTTCATCCCCATATGCATGACTCCCATCATGAAGGGGTGTTGCACCATGATATTGAAAGCACTGCAGAAAATGATGCCGAATGCAAAAAATACTGCTTCACCCCAAGTCACACTGCCTTCCGTGTCGTAGGAAAAAAACCGGTTCAGGTATGTTGTATTTGACCTGACGGAGTTGTAATATTAGGCAATTTGTAGCTAATTTATTTAAAACGTCTTCTTAGTCACGTTTATTATTATACGTACGTAGAAGTGTAACACATAGCTGTTTCATTACTTCAAAGAATAACTTACGGGTTATTATCGCCATGTATGGGGCTGTAGTAGCGGAGCAGCAAAGCGAGAAAAATTGGTTGCTGCAACCTTATCAAAAACTCCATAGCAGCGAGGATGAGCCCATAAAACATTAATTCACACCCGAACACTTTGAAGAGCACTCTCCACAAGCTTGGTTTCCGCCTGCCCCCGCGGCGCTCAACTGACAGAACTTCGCGGTCCCAAGCTTTCTGAACTGCATCACCTATGTGTTTGACATCAATTCAATTTCCTGTGTCTGATGTGATTTTATAAACTGAGATAGCTTAGTACCAGCCAGTATACCGCGTAGACCATGATTGATTAAATAGAACGATGTCACAGAGAACCAATAAATGTGATATCGTTTCCGACCAGCTGTTCTTGAAATCACCCGAGAAGCCTGTGTGCAGTTGATATGATGATGATATTAAGTGGTATTGTTGAGCTCAATAATCAAGATCAGTTAGGTTAAATCATTAAATGTACAGTCATCATCCATTTTGTAGTAGGGGTCGTGTTTAAAGGATAGGTAATTCGTTTGGCATATTGTTAGCATTTCTACAGGTTGTAATCTGTACCTTAACATAGTACTTACTAGCTTTTGCCCGCGACTTCGTTCGTGTGGAATAGTGACTTCCTGATTTTTGGCATAAAAACTATCCTATGTCCTTCTCGAGTTCCAAACTATGTCTGTACCTAATTTCACAGAAATCGGTCCAGTAGTTTAGGCGTGAAGAAAAAACAGACAGACAGAGTTACTTTCGAATTTATAATATTATTAGTTTGGATAAGAAGTTTATGTTAGCTTACGATACCTAGTACACTGGAACGGTGTTCCGGCAGTGGAGCATACAGATCTGTTTCTTTAATATCTCGGCTGTAGCCCATTTTGAACGTTTCTAATGTCCATCTGAGGGATAAAGTAGTATCATTTAAATTGTAAAAAATATAAACTCATTGATCGATTATGATCAATAGGTTAATGAACCGGCGTTGTCGGCTGTAAATACATAGATACCTACACATACGGGTACACACACAAATAAATGACGTTAGTACATACCCAAACGTTAAAATTGAGAACCAGTTAGCTCCATAGCGAGGGTTCATAGTTCTGTTCTGTTTTGGCCCTGTATCCATTATTATAAAGATAAAATAAATTTTATACGCAAATGATTAATAACATAGGTGCTCAACAACCGCGTTATCTAGATGGCTATGATTTTCCTACCTATCCTAAGCTAAAAGTTGTTTTATCATATAACCTCGTTCCTTCTTTCTTCTGTTAAAACTCCGACGCACACACAAATCGCAATCGTTACTGCGGGGACCAACTGCAGGACATAGTGGAACACATGGTGGCGGTGTACTCTGCTTGGGCTGAGCACCGCCATATCAGAGAAGGGGTTGGTGGCGGCAACCTCTCGCGCCCGACCTTGATTTAGGCCATGGTGGTAGAAGCCGTCTTCTCCTTCTGCGAGGCTGTCATTCTTACAAAAAAGCTGGTGGGGCGCGTGATCCTCTTCACGTCTCAGCCGGCAGCTGGCGAGAAAGGATACCTCGCCTCGCCGCCTAACTAGAATTAGACCGGAGCATTCGGCGTGTCGCGTTCCGAGCGCCTCCAGATCCATCAGACCACATCTAAAGGGTCCACTAGAGCCGATCTTCAGCCGCCGTTGCGGTTGCAAACGCAATGATTTTACCCCTTGTGAGATTTCGACCCAAAAATTTCTGTCTCAAAAATGAAACTGCTAACTTGTGGCAATCATCGTTAACTCAATATTTTTTTTCTTTCTTTATTAATATATAGGTTGAGAATTGTTAGTTGAGATAGGATTCAATGGAACATGTCTACATCAGCTCTGTTCAAATTCAGGGACCATACCAAAAACTATACCGGACACATTCCATTAATAAATGTTGTAGGTCCTCGACAACTTCCGTTCCTCACCATTAGGTGAAGCGACTTTCGTCAGCATAAATGCAATTTTTTTGGATGGTATGTGTCCAGATCTGAGTCTAAGAAACTCAATATTATTAGCACAAAATTGATGTATCACGAATCACAACACATACGCCTCACATATGCACAGATACGCCTAAGCTGCCCATATATGCACGTCACCTTCACCAACCATGCATATCTGAATCGCAACTATATGATTACCCGTGCGCATCGTCACTTGTCTGAATCGACTAGTTATTGTTGTACAACCATGCAACCTGCATAATACTGCCAAAACTTTCAGAATTCGTTGACTGATTCTCTATTTTTGGTTAGGGCTTCTGTTAATTTGGGCCGAAGCGAGAGCGAGCTTCTCGCCACGTAGCCCATTTATAGGAACGCGCAGCCCGCGGCGCCACTGCGCATCCTTAGGCACTTGCATAATTTTCCTAATTATATTCCTGACACAATCTATATCTATACTAATATTATAAAGAGGTAAAATTTGTAAGTTTGTATGTAGGGGGTAATCTTTGGAACCGCTGGTCGGATTTCCAAAATTCTTTCACTGATAGATAGCTAGAATGTTCCTGAGTGCTATAGGCTATAAAACATTACGCTACGATTGAATGAAGCCCAGCGGGTGGAACCACGCGAGAGTAGCTAGTTATGAATAAGGTTAGTAAGAATTACCGTGAACTTATTTTAATTAGTTTTAATTGAATGGTTTTATCAACATACGTGACTAATATTATGTTGTATTCGTAAATTGATTTTAACTTTATAGCCTGTTAATAATTATCACCTCGGATTAATTATAGTTAAAAGTTATGTGGCAATAAATTGTATATAAATATAAGGCTATTGATTCCTTACAAAATATTTATTTATGATGCTCTGCATCATTCGATTGACGTGCCTCTTGTTAAGTGTTTGTCTAAGTGGGGTAAGTAGTTACTTCGATAATATAATATCTATGTTATTAAGCTTAAGTACTAGTTTACTACTTACTTCGAAATTTTCTTCATGTAAGTTTTCCTTATGGTTTAAATACAGGTACATTTATTATACGCAGATAATAATTATGTACCTACATAATACATTGACTTTTTTGTGCTTTTTTGGAATATGAGTTCGTTTTCAAAATGCACATAAAAATGTACTTTGTATGATTTTCGTAGTTACGAAAAAGGTTTGAACCTTATTAGCCAAGTTTGCTCTCTATAAGATATATATAACTCGGAAAAATTCGCATCGTAATGCCGCATGGAACAACCCATCCCTGGTAGTGGTATCCCATCATAAGAACTGTCTAACATAGTACTACACTACACTCCTTTACTGAAATCCCCTATAAGCGGTGACGACATTTGAAATCTTAAAAATAAAAGTGATTGAGACGGTTTGTAGGATCTATGCTCTACCCTCGGCAGTCGGCACTAAAAATTTCGGAAATCAATGACATGACACAACATTACTAAATGTTAGGGAAAATATTTGTATATTTATATTTAGTTTTAATTCCGCGACAAAATTGTCGCGGAATTAAAACTAAATATTTTCCCTAACATTTAATGTCATGGATTTCCGCAAAGTAACGCCTGATTCTATAAAACAACATTACTATTTAAAAATGTAGTTATTGGTTTTCGAAGTATTCTCCGAGATGGAAGAATTCGATAAGATGGAATAAATCATTGAAGCAACCATTCCATTCGGAAGTTGGGGTCTCCAGAAAGGCTGTTTTGTAGGCGTGCACAGCTTCTTGAGCTGATGAATATCTCTTACCACGCAAAGGAAAGTGTATAAATCATTAGGACTTAGGTCGGGGGCTGTCAGGGGATGGTCTAATAATTCTGTTTTCTTGCTCCCAAAAAAGTTTTTTGTTCTGTACGCGATTAATTTTATTTATTTAGAAAATGTACATGTACAGCATTACAGCTTACGCCATTAAAACATACTGTTAATTTCATATAATTATCTAGGTACTAAAAAAATAATTAGGTAATTAAATATAAAAAACTCAAGAGAGTTAAACCGCAACATGCCCAACAAAAACTTAGTGGGGTACAGAAAAGGGTAATAACCACACCGTTTTCTGTACAAAAACCTCAAAAACGCTTTTTGGACCTTTTCCAACATGAGAGCGTAAGTAACCTCATGCGGTACGATGCGATGCGATGATATGGCGGTAGTAGTTCTCAACTCAATACGGAGGTTAGAAGCGACCTGTGGCAAACAAATTCTAGCATACCATTCTGTAATAACCGTTCCTTGTCTCTCAGTAGGGTAGTCGCAACATGGCCGGTTTTGGAGACAAACGTAACCACCATATTTTTGAACAATTTTTGTTGGCTTTACTCATTTTCGAACACCCAAACCCGTGAAAACACCTAGGTTTCAAAAAGATTTAAATATGACAGGAACAGTGGAATTATTCCATTCCCGAAAACACCTTTGTTTTAAAAAAGATTTAAATATTAACTAAAAATCGCAGGTTACTCACGTGTAAATATTGAGAAAAGCTCTACTAGTTTCGAACCACAGAGGGGTTCTTCCTCATGAGTTATTATAAAAACATAGATTTAAATATGACAGAAAAAATGGAATTATTCCATTCCCGAAACTCCTAGTGCCGCTTTGTAATACAAAAATAAACATAATGATGTAGACCTGTGCGAACTTAACTACCTACTTATTTTCACAGGCACAATGGGTGTACCCAGCGAGAGCATCCCCCACCAGGGCAGAATATCCTGCAAAATGCCGGTACGATTCTTGCAGTCTGGCACTGGAAGATCTGAACATTTTTCTCCGACTTCTGAATGCGCAGAGTGACAAAGAAAACATAAAATCTGACATTAAACCAAGTAGTGGTCTCAGCGACGAAATTATTATGAAGCTGGTTAATGCTTTAGTATACATGGCTACGCAGAACTGTATTCAAAGTCGTAGAAGCCATCCGAACGAAGGTTATGCAGGTGTTAGTGGTGGTGGTGGAATAGCTGCAGGTATTGGTGGAGGAATAGGTGCAAGTATTGGTGGCGGAATAGGTGCAAATGTTGGTGGTGGATTAGGTGGTGGTGGCAGTGGTGGATCAGGTGGAAATTTTGGTGGCGGTGGTGGGATAGGTGCAGGTATTGGCGGTGGAGTAGGTGCAAGCATTGGCGGTGGAATAGGGGGAGGCATTGCTGGTGGTGGCAGTGGCGTATTAGGTGGTGGTGGTGGTGGCGGATCTGGTGCAACTGTTGGTGGCGGTGGTGGAATAGGTGCAAGTATTGGCGGTGGAATAGGTGCAACTATTGGTGGTGGAATAGGGGGAGGCGTTGTTGGTGGTGGCAGTGGCGTATTAGGTGGCGGTGGCAGTGGTGGTGGATCAGGTGCAAGTGTTGGTGGCAGTGGTGGAATAGGTGCAAGTATTGGCGGTGGAATAGGTGCAAGTATTGGTGGTGGAATAGGGGGAGGCATTATTGGTGGTGGCAGTGGCGGATCAGGTGCAAGTATTGGAGGCGGTGGTGGAATAGCTGCAGGTGTTAGCGGTGGAATAGGTGCAACTATTGGTGGTGGAATAGGGGGAGGAATTATTGGTGGCGGCAGTGGTGTATTAGGTGGTGGTGGCAGTGCCGGATCAGTTGGAAGTGTTGGAGGCGGTGGTGGAATAGGTGCAACTATTGGTGGTGGAATAGGGGGAGGAATTATTGGTGGCGGCAGTGGCGTATTAGGTGGTGGTGGCAGTGGCGGATCAGGTGCAAGTATAGGAGGCGGTGGTGGAATAGCTGCAGGTGTTAGCGGTGGAATAGGTGCAACTATTGGTGGTGGAATAGGGGGAGGAATTATTGGTGGCGGCAGTGGCGTATTAGGTGGTGGTGGCAGTGGCGGATCAGGTGCAAGTATAGGAGGCGGTGGTGGAATAGGTGCAGGTGTTAGCGGTGGAATAGGTGCAACTATTGGTGGTGGAATAGGGGGAGGAATTATTGGTGGCGGCAGTGGCGTATTAGGTGGTGGTGGCAGTGGCGGATCAGGTGCAAGTATAGGAGGCGGTGGTGGAATAGGTGCAGGTGTTAGCGGTGGAATAGGTGCAACTATTGGTGGTGGAATAGGGGGAGGAATTATTGGTGGCGGCAGTGGCGTATTAGGTGGTGGTGGCAGTGGCGGATCAGGTGGAAGTGTTGGTGGCGGTGGTGGAATAGGTGCAGGTATTGGCGGTGGAATAGGTGCAAGTATTGGCGGTGGAATAGGTGCAGGTATTGGTGGTGGATTTGACGGTCGTTATGGTGGTAGTTTGAGAGAGGGCCTAGCTGATATATTAACTGAGGAACTCGATGATGACTCAGAAGAAGGGTTTGGTAGTGAATTAATTGGGGAGCGTGACATTGGCTTGGAGTGAGTTAAGTAAAATTCGTAGCAGTGCGCATAGTAGGAATTTCGCCTGTTGTAGCTTAAAGAAAAGTATCATCAACCAATTAATAGAAAGGACTAATATTTATATTATTGTCAAAAATTAATTATTTTTATTTAAAACTTGTTTGAAGCAGAATGGGTTTATATAATATTTATGAGTTATAGATATTCCTGAAAGAATATATCAAATAGCTTGTATTTAGACCTGATAAAAGAAACCGCATCAAAATGTGTTGCGTAGTTTTATAGATTTAATAATACATACGGATATAGGGACAGAGAATACGACTTTGTATAATTATAATGTCAACTGTAGTAATAATGTGTAATATTTATAATGAATTTCTTAAACAATATTTTTTTGATTAAATGTTTTTTCTTTGTATATTGTTTTGATTATTAACTTTAATTAAATTCATCCCTTTATTAAGTAGGTATTGTAAGTACCTATTTATGTGTTCATGATAAAGTATTACTAGTGGTAGTGGATTAGGTGACACTTAGTGTTTTTTGAGAGGAGAGAGTGGGGCGATCGTGTCAGACGCCTACTCAAAACCACATCGTTCATTCTTCCACTCCAGGCTAGAGCCGCGGTACACCTACATAATTACGCTTGCACCTGCAACCTGGGTGATACAAAAGTTAAGACACTCACCTATAAGTATTTTCATTATAACTTTCGTGAGACATTCTAAATCAATTATTATGTTTTCGGCTTACTCACGTAATAATTTGACAAGATACACGACTATTTTCAAGCTATGCTGGAGGCCCATATTCATGAGCAGCATTCCGCGACACGCGACGCGGCGACTGTCGCGCTGCTACAGTATATCTCGTCAAATTATTACGTGAGTAAGCCGAAAATATAATAATTTACCTATAAGTAAGTAAAATATTTCATTAATCTAGTATAATTACGGTAAAAAATATATATAAAATTATAATAAATATATAAAATTCCGGCTCAGCCGGAATGATATTTAATGGCCGCAGAGTACTGGCTTGCAATACAGGTCTCAAAAATACCGGTATAATTTTTCTAAAAAATGGTATATTAAGTATTTTCGGCTTAAGTAAAATAAGATGCCGCTCAAAAAACAATTAGAACTGGCTGTGAAAAAGCAAGTGCTAAAGCATCAAATTTATGCTAATTAAACTTGGACACCTTAAACAAAATAGATAGGTATAGGTTTTTACGCAAACGGCGGGTCTAAAGCAAAATATTTGGTTGTGGTGTGGCGGTCAACAATTATTTAAATATATAAGTATTCCATCAATTAGTAAGAGAGGTTTCTCTGCATCGTGTTACTTGTGTTCTCATCAAGTTGAGTGGAAAAATTTAAATACTCTTCACTATTTCTAATCTAATTACAAGGATCAACCAACACTTTTATGGACATTGGAGGAAGTTTTCGGGGAAAAGACTAGAGAGAGCGGTATTGTTACCGCACCAAAACTTCCCCGGGGCCACCTATAAGGAATACCGGGTCACCGGCTCCGGCTCCGGTGCAACGCCAGCTACGGCACATCCGTATCGAGACAACTCACTTTGACACCGTCTTCCCTGAAGTCATTGGCTGCCTAGTTTCCCCATTCTATGCGTCCATGACCTTAAAGGTTTGCCTGCATGTAGTTGAGGAAGAATATTGGCGTGTTAGACGCTGAAGCCGTCTAATTGAAATAAATGATTTTGACTTTGAATTTGATAGCACGCGACATAACACGCAACACCACGCTTGAGTGTCGCTAACATAATAAATTTTGTATGAATTCGATTTTCTTCTAACGCGACACTATACGCCACGACACTAATATATATTGACGCCTTCAGTTTTGAGTTTTTAATCTATGTGCACACTCATTCATTCATTCGCTCAATTCTATCTGTCATGAAATACGTTAATGTCACATTATTGTTTGATTTTTGAAAGTTAAAATAAACTTTGTTTTATTAATTCTATGTTAGTAATTGTCTTGTTATGGTAAACCAACAGTTTAATTAGAATTTAGTTTGTGTAAATAAAAACTTATTACCGAAATGTCAAGATGACTTCTGAAATTGAGGCCATAAAAACAAATGAATTTCTACGACGACGAAAGCTGAGACTTCAACAGGTTTGAATTTTGAGAAGTTGTTTTTAGAAATATATTTGAGGGAGATGAAAATAAAAATTTATCAAGTACCGTAGCAGTGAAAATACGCGTAATGTTTTAGGTCCGAGAGCAGTCAAAAGACATTGCTAAGAAAATAAGACAGCGCGCCAAGGTTGAAAAGATACGGCAAGTTAGTGATTTAGATGCTAAGAAACAGAAGGAATATTTTGAATGTCAAGATAAACTCGTGAAGCAGTTGCAGGTTTTGTATACTAGAGGGGTAGAAAATGTAGGTGCAGGCCATCAAAGTGCATCTGAATTAACAAAGCAAGGTAGTATGTTTTTATAAGTATAAATTGAATTTAGAGCACCAGGTTTACAATTTGTGATCTAGATAGTTGTTGTTAAACTCAGATTAACTGACACATTCCACATGAATATTTCAAATTATTTAACTGTTGTATTTAAGTTTATAGCATTAACTCACATTTTGTGAAACAGGTCCTTATTTCCTAAAGAAGGCTTGAATAATATTATTAGTAATAATTTTTATTTATACAGAGTATATATATTACACACCCATATTGTATTGTTTTTTATTTGTTAGATGAACTAACTAAGACTGATGTATCCAAGTTACGGGGCAAGGAGGCTGTAGCAATATTGAGGCGGAACAAACAAGAAAAACTAGATCAACAGAAGAAACTCCTTGACAGAAAATTACAAGCAAGGTATGTCTGACTTTGCTGAAATAATCCTTTGTTAGTTATAACTGTAGGGCTCAGTTTTACATTTCTTCTTTTTACTAGATTTTTATAAGATTATTTTGTCATTAGAAACTAACAATTTTACTTAAAAAAAAAATGTTGGCAACATCTGAGCTGTGTCTTGGGAGTTTTATATACTTTAGGATTACCTAATTGAAGGTATTAGTTAAAAAAACAGTGTATGCTACTTATTACCTATTGTTATTGCACAAGATTTACAATATTTTATACAATGAAATGCTGTAAATGGGAGTTTACAGCAATAAAGAAAAAGGAACTATCTTATCTGTCTTAATTGGTCAGTGATTTTTTTTGAGAGAAGAAAATCGTAAATCGTGATATTACGCAACTGGGAAGAAGTACTTTATTGTTCTTGCACCCAGAACCCCAGCCAGCCAAGATGGTGTTATGAAGAACTCTCTAGGTTTCTACCCACATTCAACCAGAAGTAAGAGAAACAGTCTACACATTGTATACTGAAGAGCAAATTGTTATATGTGATATTCTGCTCTTATTACTTGCAGTCAAAATCATATATGATTATATAGGTATATGATTTTGACATTATTAGGCAATCTCATATTTAGCTACTTAATGTATAGAATTACAAAAAAAAAATATTAACTTGAGCAGAATATTAGATGCCAATCAACAAATAGATCTGGATTCTCGCTACTAATCATTGAAGGGCCTGTGCGGCAAAGAAGAACTTTATTATTACTCATTTATAGCACTAAGTTTTCTTTTACAGGGAGGCTGCCAATGAAATAAGCCGCGATAAGTCATCTTTGGTAGCAAATAAACTGCTATCAAAATTTTCAAAAGTTCAAGATTGTAATGACTTGCATTCCAAGGCTGGGGACTCTTCAGAGCTTTTAAGCTCTAAGTATGACAATAAAGTTGCAGGAAAAACTGATAATGAGGCAGAACCAGTGAAAACTAGTGACATGGCCACACAGTGGGACTTGGAGACAATACCACATGAATGGGAGCCCGCTGTGCCAGAACTATCAATCCCTACAGACAAAGATTCTCCCAATGATTTTGACGATAATGGGAATAAAGCTGAGAAAAACAAAAGATTAGATTTGTTCGCCGTCAGCGAAGAGATGCCTTCAAGTTTACGAGGCAATAATCTACTTGATACAAGGGAAAGGGAGCCTGGTAGACCTTCGTTGACAATTATTTCAGAATACCTTCAGAATAGGAAAATGCGCTTACGTGAAACAGAACCAAGTAACATCAACAAGAAGCCTTCGGATGATATGCAGAGCTTGAGGCAGACAATACTACGCACCAGAACTACTAAGCCTGAAGGTAGCCATTTTAATGCATGTCAAGTACTTGATGAACAAATTGTGCCAGTGCCTACATGGCGAGCAGAAAGGCGTTGCCAATTCTGTTCTCACAAGGTTCACTACACTACACCAGCACAAAGCAGCACAGTACAAAAACAAAGCAGGCAGTATAAATCTGTCACTACTTCCCGAATTAACCAGATTTTTACTTCCATAAATCCAATGCAGCAGGCGGATATTGTGCCAAGTCCTGTGTTGAGACATACAAGCCCGTTTAGGAGGCGTAGAACTGGTCCCGGAATTTGTAAGCAAATAAAAGAAATAATAACCAATAGCCGCTTTGTGATTCATTGGTATTGGTCCATCTACATGCAACATCTACGTAAATCATTATTTAACATACTTGTTTACCATGTAACTCGTTTAGTTTGAATTGGTGTAGTCGTTTTGTCCATTATATCATGCTTAAAGTAATAAGTTTAATGAAATTGAAAATATTTAAGCAATTTGTACATAAATAAACTATTTTAGGTTCCAACAAAGGGGCTTGTTCTAGCGACAAGATGAAGACATCTCAAGAAGCTTGTGGCCTGCAGAGGAAGAGCTCTGTCGTGATGTATAACCACTCCACCAGAGATACTCGGGACCTGCCTTATGGCGACGATAAACTTGTAGTAAGAGACTTGCAAGCTGCAGAAGATGCATACTCGCAAGCTATGAAGGAGGCCGCCGTCGACGCTAAAAGTAAAGAACAAAATAAGAAGCAACAGGAGCTAAGGAATAAGGTTGCAGTAACTAAACAAAACGTCGAAAAAGAATATAAAGACACCATGAACTTCTTAAATTCTTTGCCAAAAGATAAGCAGAGTAAACCTATTGTAAGTACTTTTTGTTTTTAATTTTTTTTTCTATTTATTTATGTATCTACTAACCAACCTTTTTTCGTTGTTAAGAAAAATGCGTACATGGACGAACATAGGCAGCAAATGCAGTATGAAACTCGCCAGCTAAGGATGCAACAGGAATACAAGAAAATACAGAAAGAATGTAAGAAGCATCATTGTCAGGTAAATATTGAACATCCATCACAGGTAAAATACCTGCAACTTAACGTCAATAACATCCCTTTGTATAACAATAGCTAACATACAATAAGGATGGTGCCAGGGTATGAAAATAAAGAAAAAAAATTACCTACTTTATTAGTCAAATATTGGATTGGATTAAACGAATTTAAGTTTAGGATTGGGATAGGCATCACTGTTTGCTCGTTATATAATGTTCTATATGCCACTATTCGGTTATATTTTCAGAAAAACAGAAATCTATCAAAGTCGCCTGTGGGCCGCGATTTGGATGTAAACTATGCTAACAGAGACTTTCAATACTCTTGGATGCCTGTACCCGAGAGTGACGGCAACCTCGCCATTCATGCAATACCTAACTCTGTAAAATCAGCCAAACAAGGAAACAGTGTCAAGTTTAGCACAATGGACAGCTACCATGAATATAGATCTAGACACAAGCATACCCCTCCAACCAAAGACACCAACCAGGACAGTGCTCCCAAGAAATCTGTAATAGAAAGGGAAGACTCGGAATATTCTGATAGCTCTTCCATTAGCTCAGATACAAGTTCAGTAGAGAATTTGAAAATTGGACCCAAAAAGAGACGTAAAAATGCTAAAGAGATCAACAAGGACCTATCGGATGCCGAAAGGATCATAATTTACAAAGTACTCGATTCAAAATCTGATAAGAAAACAAAAAGACAGACAAAGCTTTTGAACGAAATTGCAAAATCATTGTCATGTATTGGGAAGACACAGAAGATCTGTGATGATGAGAGCCAGCAATACAAGAAGGTTGTTAGTGCGGAGGGACCAAGCAAGAGTATTGAAAATGGCATTTCATTGGAACAACTTCATGAAGGTATTGCATTCTGTAATAATAAAAACTTATTTACTAGTTGAACTGCTAGGTGTTGTATAGTCTATCTTTCCTAACTAAAATACTGTGGTTACTCCTGAGTTTTGCACCTAGCTAGTATATTACATTCAGTTTAATATATATTATTTATTTTAACAAATTAAAATTTATTTTCAGGAGTGTACAAAATGGTAGAGGAACAAGGGTGAGTTTTGTAACATTTAATACAGTATTGATCATCTGTTCCTATCCTATGATTACCTTGTCCTATCCTTCAACAGGGCATCCTACAACATGATGAGTTGTTACACTACTAACGTAGAAATGTGGCACTCCCATACGCCGCAAAAGCCTTGGTGGTAAATTTATACAATACTAGCTTCTGCTGAGGCTTCATCCGGGTTATCAGATAAAAGTAGCCTATGTTATTCTAGACTGTTCTTAATTTTCATTTAGATGCATTCAATGGTTGTAATGGCATAAACTTCATTCAGAAAGTTATTATTGTAATAGTCAAAATTAGATTATTGTTTTTATTTATGTAGTTTTTTATACTTACCTAGTTTTTTTTTTGAAATTTTTATAGTGCATAAAATATATACTTATAGTTGTAGCGTAATAAAATGTTTAGGCTTAATTCCACCATTTTAAAATTCGTTTTTAATTATTTTACAGGGATAATATAGCCTCAATGTACTTCAACGACGATCAAGAAAGCAACAAGGTGCCTGAAACCCAATCGAAAACGGAAAACATAGTCAATGAACCATGCTGCTGTAGGAGCACTAATAAACCACTACAAACAGATAAAGGTGCGTATTATATTAGTAGTTCATTATAATAGTCTTATTTTGTGGCAGGTTGGCATACGGGCCAGACGGTACCTTAAGATAAGCAATCAGTGCCGCTCATGGATTCATTCGTAATTCCTCTGGAGTTGCGAGTGAATTTTCGGTCTTTTGAGATAAGGATTTCGGAGGTACAGTTTGCGGAGGAATGGGGGGAGAAAAAAGATTGCCCTCCAGTAACTTCACTCACACGGCGATACACAACATTGTAGTCGTTTCTGGCCATTTTCTGCGAGGCCATGGTATCACTCCAGTCGAGCCGAACTATTCTTGGTGAAGCTTAGGTCTCCCACCACGTAGTATTATGATGGTCTTATAACATGTTATAATAATTCACTTTTTTTTTCAGTCACCCCTCATTTTGATAGCGGCGATTCTCATGAGCCAAGACAGTAAGTATATTTTTTTTTCTTCATAACTTCAATTATTTATTGTTGAAATTTTAACGGATAGTAAATTAATATTATTACTTAACTTTCAGAAAAAGTAACGAGAATAGAGATCTATCTCCTGGACTTACAAAGAAACAGCCGAACAAACCTTCCTCAATATCAACGTGCTCCTACAATACTGCCATGAACGATAAAGCCAATACATCCGAAGGTGGGTATATAAAATTAATCGACGAAACTGGCCAGGACGCCGGAAAGGTCTTTATAGGTCCTTCAGGGTTTCTTAATAACAATGCCTACGAAGTAGTCATACAACTTCGAAAGAAAGATGGAACCATTGAAGAGAAAATATTAGATAAAGACGCATTTTTTGCAAACAAACAGGCTGCGAGTGAGACTAATAGTACAAGTGAGGGAAAGAATATTTCCAATAAATCAAATACGGACGTAAAAGATCCTCAGCCAGCTTCTAGTGAGATCACACACGATGATTGTGATTATAGAAGTGCAGCCAACGAACATTCCACTGCAGTGCTCCTTCAACCTGCTGTTTCAAGCAAAACTGTCTTGTCTGAGAAATCTCAAGCTCCAACTGATAAGACCGAACCACTCCACCATGGAACAAATACTGACGCAGATGAGGAAATATTTCTTATACAGTCAGATACAAACAAAAATATGTGTGACAAAGGTGTTCATACACAATCAACCGATGACGTGAAACAAGATGGCATGTCCAGGCCCGCCACAAGCACGTACACTCAAACAAGCCTAAGCTCTCCCCTCCATAGACCTATGTACTATCACATGAGCTCTTCGACTTCCACGGCTTACTTAAGTCCCCCAGAACTTATTCTACCAAAGTTTCTTAAACCAGACTGCATAATATCAGAAGATGAACCATTGCATACCATTGAACTAACTGCGAAAGAGTATTGCGAAGAATATACTGACTGTACATGCAAGAAATGCATGCAAGCTAGAAACATAATAGTACGCAAAATTTCTGTAAAGCCCACCCATGAAATAAAGACCAAATATGAAAACAAAAATATTATGACCCCTCCTAATTCTACAATAACAGTTCCTGAAATTAGGCGTGAAAATGTTGAAATTCCAAAAAAGAAGAAACCTTGCAGAAGTTCATCAACTGAAAGATCAAAATGTTCACATAAAACTCGAACCCACGTCGATCCTGTTAAGAGACACTGTCACAGGAATAAAAGGAAAACTTCTGTTGAAAGTGTTCGCTCGATCACGACTCGAACCTCGACTGCACGCACTGGCATGACCTCGAGTTCAAAACATAGATATAATCCTATAAGTACTAGTAGGGACAAAAAATCTGAAAAATCCAATTTGAATCCAATAATTAGAGACTACGTGAACAAATTACTAGCTCTCAATAGAGATGGCTTGAAAGCTGTCGAAGTCGCAGATCAAGAATGTAGCTCGGTGGGTACTCCTGCCAGCTCCATAATTAATGTACCATATAATATAGATAAAAGAAAAACTTCATTACTGCATACGATTTCATTAGAACAAATAAAAACGTTATTAAAAAAGCAAATCGTGCAAGAAGAATTTACCAAAAATTTCAAACATATGCAACATTCGTTCGTTTATTCTGTTGCCAATAACAAGAATAGTATGAAAAGCTTGTCTCGGTCTGTCCGCAGAAAGCCTGTACACAAAGTTAAATCTTTAAATATTTCAAGAAACTTGGTTAAGCGTAGACCTACTGAAGGAAAATCTAGTAAACCTGTTTTGCAGCCACCCACTGACAGGAATTTAAAAAGCCGAGTAGATTTTCATTCGCCTAAAAAAGTGCGTAGTAAAAGCTCCCCAACACCTAGACATGTGGCTAATTCGGAGCCAATATCTAGATGTAATGATTCTGAATCCGCTACTAAAAATTCTACTGGAACAGAAAAGTCCGATGATAATTGTAACAAGAAAGCCATAAATAACAAATGTGTGCGCCAACATATTAAAAAGTTGCCTTCTCATAGAGCTACTTTAACTGATTCGACAGTAGACTCCATTTCCGAATCAACGGTAGACTTTCAACATTATCCTAACTCTGCAGACATTCCTGTAAGTATGTCCACTCAGACTACAAACATTGAATTAAACACAGATAGTAACCTAATGAAATTGGCAGAAGACAAATTACATAATATGGAGAAAATTGCCGATTTGACTGAGAAATGTACAAAAAGATTATCAGATCTTGCTAGGGTTCTCCAGGAGGTGCGAAAAAACAAGTCTTTGGTGTACAGCCAAATTTCATCTGCTGAATCAACTGACTCTCAACCTGACCATAAATCAGAGAAGTCGACAGTAAGCCCCATTATTTTTGATTCCAATGATATTGCAAAAGGAGAAGAAATTCAATCACCTGATGGAATAAATGATCCTGTGGAGGAAAAAGAAAAAGACATAGGAAACGATATACCATCACCAGAATATATGACAATTTTGTCAGATATTCCTAAACCGGACAAAGCGCAAGAATCAAAACACGTTACAAAATTTACCGAAGCTACCGAAGCATTCGATTCAGCATTACATATTTTGTCTACTAATTCCTCAGAACTGTCGGTTAAGAACAGGCCGAAACCACCCCCAGCTTTATCTCGCCTTAGTTTCAAACATGGACAAGACTTTGTTATTCCACATGAACTTTCAACTGTTATAGAAGTGGACTCTCCTATGAGTGTGAAGCACAAAACTCATTCTGCTCGCAATAATGATAAAGAAACCTCCAACAATAATTCAAACAGGTCATCTGTTGGGGACATTACTGCTGTAGAAGATCACAGAAAAAATAGATCTAAAAGAGGATCCATAATGAATCCTGATCTGCTCCAAACCAATTCTCAGTTATCTAACAAATATAAATTGTCATCAGCCGAATCTTCTGATGAATCAAAATTTCAAATGATTGATCTTAAACAATTTAATGAGATAATGTTAGAGCCATTTATAAGTATTCAAGAATATGCAAAACAATATAACATGAAACCACCAGATGAAGGGTCTAATCTGGAAGAAATACATAGAGAAGATCCTGTTAATGACGACATAAGTTCATTACATTCCGATGGTAGCTTACCCGATGTAATTGCCGAGTTGCTGAAGCGAAATGTCATCACTGAACCATTTAAATTTGACACAGCTTCAAATGTTAACTCTACTACTATTTCCTCAGAGTCTACTTTATCCATGTTAGCTTTATCAAAAGCACGCAGAAGTAGAAAAAAGCCTAGTGTCATTTCCAAAAATAAAGAAAATATTGGCGAAACATCTGATACTTTAAGTATTTCTTCAAATCCTGATCTAGAAAATGCTTTTAAGAAGCTTGGTATGGGCTGGGCATCATCCACTTTGAAAAAGACAAAAGAGCGATTAGCTTTATCATCCTCGTCTAACACATCAAGCTCTAGTTTATCACAATTTAAAATGAAAAGTTTCAATCAAGACATACCAGTTCTGGTTACAGATTCGGTTTCATCAGTAGTAAATGTGTCCAAAGGGGTACAGAACATGAGTGCAGTTGATTATTCTAAAAACGCCGAGCAACAAACTACATTGTCTAATTCAATGACTGTTAAAGAATTTTTAAGGAAGGAATTAGCGAAGAAAATTACTTTTACAAATAAATCTAATGTTAATGGTTCTCAAGAATTTGTTTCGTTATTTGAGACGAAAATGCCTGAGGAAATGAAAGAAAATTCTCAAGTGAATCGTGACGAGCACTCAATGGACAGTGCACCCAGTGGCGCTAATAGAGCGCGGACATCTACCCCTGTGCAGTTGTTCAAATCCATGACCTACCACTCGAGCTCCAGCTCTAATGTATCCAATGGTTTATTTAGTAATGTTGATGATTTATCTTCTGTCAAAATGACGTCAAATTCCATGAAAAATCATTCCACATCCGATAAGGATGATTTGACCATTCCTAACTTTAGTCTGAGATTAAAAAAGAGTTCAGACTGTAGTAAAAGTGATTAAAAAACTTTGTTTCTAATTTATTCATTTATCGAAAAATAATATAATGAAAAAATATTTATGTATAATGTAATGATATTGTTTGGATTGCTTATACTATTTTAATAAATCAATTAATTCAATTTGAAATATTTTTATTTATTTTTCAATAGGAGCATGGTAGGTTATACCACATTTTCTATTGTCTATACAATAACATTTTTCAAAAATATTTTACAGATCTTTTTGCACTCAGATTTATTAAATTACAAATAGAGATTCAATTTAATACCTTTGGTATGTTATTGGAAAATATCTTAAATTGTTTGTACATTTATTGTTATAATAAATTAGCTTCTTATATAAGTACATGTTGCTATCCTGAGTTAGTTGCAGTTCTGACATTTTTTGGATCACTGACAGCAAATATATTTTGTCAGACATCCAAGGAAATTTAGTTGAATGATGTTATCCTATGTAATAACTTAACCAATAAATAACATTATTACATTCAATTAATACCTGCTAAATGATCACAGAAAATAATTAGTTCCTAAACTATACTAATTAGGGAAACTGATGCAAATAAAGTTAATATAATACCTATTTTGAACAATCAGATTTAAGAGTAAATGAGAATCTTGAATTAAAAATAACATGCTGCAACTACTTAAACAATTATAGTGTTGAAGTTTCCCTTACAATTGAGCTATATTGAAATTATTCTTTTTTCTTATCATCCTTTAGTAAATGATCTTTTACTAGTGTGTATGCCAGTCCAATTGTTAGTGCTGATACAACAGTGCCCTGAGCTGCCACTCGCAGCTGCATTAGAAACACACTGGTGCTCATCTTGCCCCGAGTCTTGTATTTGTATGCTCCAAAACCACACACACCCAGCAATCCAATAATACCTGAAAGTAAAATATGTGTTAATTATTTTGTAGCTTTTAATTCTAATTCATTTCATTTTTTATAACTTATATTTTAATAGGATAGTAGGTCTACCTATGATCATAAATGGAGAGTCTTTAGACTTTCTTGCAAGCCTATCTGCTTGAGATTCATCTGTGTAGTTAAATATTTGCTGTGGATTAGACATTGTGCACCTGTAATATAAAGAAAAAAATTAATTACTGGTACGGTTATTTCATGGTATACGGTGGAGTAGTTATTCAGAGTGTTAAAACAGGGTGAATGTAAGAGCAATTCTACAACAACTAAATACTGCATATTGATCGAATCAAAATTGTAAAAACAGATAGAATAAATCGTCACTATTGTGATGGAAGTATCGTACTAATTTTAATGTTTTTCACTCACAAATTATATAACAAATATTTTTTTAACACAATATTGCATCACTAAAACACATGGACACTTACACACTGTGTGACAGCTACTGATACAACTAATGAAACGCCTTTTTTTCGCTCTTTTTGTCGTTCAATGTGTTTCTATCTCCTTTGGTTTTCATGAATGGACAAGGATAAAATATCAATGTCAATGACGTACAAACACCGTCTGAAAAATTTCCTACTTCACTAGCAGGTAACCGACAAACCTACTGAAGGTCACTACTGTCAATCTGCTCAAAAGAATACTGCATCATTACGTCACTTGACATTGACATTCGTAACAAATATGAAGGTATACGTTTAGAAACTACCGAAGCATATACATGTATACCTTGTAAAGGTCAGAAATTTTATTCGTCGAAAACTGAATTAAATGATTGTGATGCAGCCACATATTATACATGTATGTATACTTACTTAACTAAACTCTTAATCTGTTAAAATTATTCATGTGAATGGAAAGGGAAATTTGGCACGTCACTTATCTAAAAATACTCTTAATACGATGTCACAATTTTATTTATAAAACCACGTGTAAAATCAGTAAATTCTGTGGCCTCTTCGCAAGGTGATTGCAAATCATGTGGTCTCACGAGGCATGCGTTGCATTTATTTGGAATTTTGCTGCAATATGGTCATGTGCTTTGTACCTATGTATGTCCAAAAATTTGTAGGTACAATGTTAGTATTATTTCATTTATTAGCTTGTGTTTCTTGATATAAATTTTGTAGGGAAGTAATTATTATACAAATGATCTAAAAAAAATGATTAAAGGATTGAGAAAAAATAAGTAATTTTTAATCATAATAAAAACATGTTATTTATTTTGGTCCCAAAATCAAAGGAAATGTATTAAATGTAACATTAAAAAAATAAATAAAAAATCAAACTACTTCTAGTCTAAAACCTTGTCTTAATAAAACTAAATAAAGTAGAAAGTGTTGATCGTAACCGCACATCCGTGGTAACATTATTTTCGTATGCCATTTCTAGGTAAAGCAAACGGTGAAATGTTACCACTGAAGTGGAGTGGATACATTTGATGACATTTTGTGCACTTATCTAAAGAGAAGGCATGGTTTTCGGTTTATGAAACCAAAAGATGATCCTTATTTGGAACCCATAAAATCGAGACGTGTCGCTTCGCAAGACAAACTAGTGTAAAATATTTCTCCATATCAAAAACCGATATGCTTCTGGCGCGATACGGCACGCCATAACACGTACTCCTAGTACTGAATATATTCCATGCATTTAAGTTAGTTAAACTTCCTGCTTGTTTCCCTTAACTTATTAAGTATAGTAAAAAAATTGATTTGTAAAAAGTTACATAAGAATAAATATTTACAAATAACACACTCAAAACTAATCGTTACACATAATTTAAAAAATATTTTATTTGGTTAAAGCTTACTGTAGGTAACTATATTTCTCGTGGTTTCGCTTTCTCAGACTTCACTTGACGAAGACACACATAAAAATAATGTCCTTTCCTTAGTAAGAACAAACAATCCAATTGCAATAATAATTAAGACATACCTACCTACCTCAATGCCCGCCAATAACTTTTTGTTTTAATCGTTCGATATTATCGACTTCTGTGATCTGCGAATAAAATATAAGCAAATGCGTTCGAGACAGATTAAGTATTATATTTTAAATGTTAGGAGTAGAATCGTCGGACTTCAGCCAGTATCGACTCGTAAGAAGATTCATCAATAATGATGAATCGCTTTGCCCTTCTGCTAAAGTAGTAAATATCTCCTGTGTAGATATCAAACCACAACGCATGAATATGCAGGTCGTGTTTCTCCAAACGTTTCTTCAGCATACCATAGGAGGCCACGTTTTGTAACTGTTGCAGTGTATTCACCTGAAAAAAATAAAGTTGATTTTCACATTGTGATAAGAGTAGATACCTAACACTATTTCAGTATTTTTTTGACCAGAATGTCTGAGGGACCTGAATGAAGAGGAATTAATGTTAACATCAAGGCAAAGAAGTCTTGATCAAATAAATTGTGTAATGTTACCTGTGACAATTTGTCTTCAATGCAGAATTTGTTATCTGGATCTATGTAAGCAACGAACTTTCGTTGCGGTGTTTCACCAGTAAAAAGCATGGGCTTGGTAAAATCATTATTCATTTCTATAAATTTTTTAAGACTAGTGTGTGCATGCGAACATAGCCACGACTTCAGTGGAGACAGCCTTCTTTGTTCCTAAAAAATAGTTACGAATGTTATATAAATGTTAAATAAATATAAGTACTTATCGTCCAAATAAGTTAAATTTAATGATACATACTATACTTGATTCTTCTTTGCTCTTAAGTTTATAGAGCAGATTCATTGCTTTACAATCGCTATGTCCACATACTATAATGTGTCTTATGTCGTTTAGAATACAACCAAGCTCCAAAGCAGCTGGCTCACAGCTGGTCATTTCGTCTACAAAGTACTGTGAGTGAGGTACAACATTACCAGCGTTTCGTACTGAAATTAATATTTATTTTTATTAATCAAGGTATTAACGAGAGACGTTAAAGGTTTATGTAAAGTTAAATTGTATTTCTCTTTCACCTACCAACAAACATATCACCAACGCTTGTTTCGGTGAATCTGGTTGGGATCATTCTGCTGTCCATGCATGTGTAAAATACCGCTTTGGGCTGTAACACATAATATAAAAATTGTTGTAGTAATTTAGGTAAGTTTATATTATAATAAACAAGTCATCTAGTTGAACATTTACGAATATATAAAACGTTTAAAATATTCTAATATATAAAATATTTATGAACTACCCTCATTTTCCCTCAAATATTAATGATACTTGCTTATTTTGATCGCATATTTAGAAATGGGTACCATTCGTTAAATTGATCGCAACAGTAGGCATAAAAAACGTCAAAGTGATACGCAAAGCTGTCACGTCTGTCATTGAAACGTCAAAATAAATATAAATTTGGCTATTTTTGTTGAAATAATAAATCCTATTTCATTAAAAGCAAAAAATAAAGTGAAGCGATATAAATATCTAGCAATTGACACCAGCGTCGTTATCCTACTGTAAACTACATTGGTTATTTGTTATTACATTTACATTTCTGAATTAAAGGTCAGTAGAATATAAACTTACCGTAGGATTGTTTTTTACTTCTTGAAATTGTTTTACCATACTTGCACGATCCAACACACGATACCTCATTATTCCTCTCAATATTTTTTCCATGATTACTGATTGTTGACACTAACATCAAGCTTTTCACTACAAAAAATTGGTACAAATTATTAGAAGTAAGTTTGCATGTGGTAAACTAAGACTGACATTTGTGACCTTCATTAGCGAAGCTTATCGTCCGCAGCGGACTTGTTTCACAGAGGTAATGCTAAATTATTGTAGGTCAATGTACATACGATGCTTAGTGGGGTATTGGCAGCAAGCTTTACGTTGCGCGTTATTTCTTTATCAAAATACATTAGATACTATCTAGCTAAGCGCACGTGCGCAAAACGTATACACAGATTTCTTAGTCGAAAGGTCCAGTTGTAAGGTTTTTTGTATCTTCTAAAAATAGAGACCATACAATTCAAGTCTTATTTTAGAAAGACACCAGTGTAACAATTTTATTTATCGTATTGTTTTTGTTTATTATAGATGACGACGGAAAAAGTTATTGGGGATGTAGCAGAGGCAAATGACAGTGTCCCAGCACTCTTACCACAAAACCATAGGTTTTTAGAACCAGAGAAAGCAGTGAAAACTCTGACAGATATGGCCATATGGGAGAAATCTGAAGCTTACATGGAATACACTGGGTTTATAGCCACATTGAATGAAGCCATCAAGGCCAAACCACTAACTGTAGACTGTAAGATCTCAGACAATGTAAAAAAACTCATTAAAATGCTTGACTTAATTGACAATTTGATAGATGAATTCCCTCCAATTGAACAACCACAGCGGTTTGGTAATGTGGCATTTAGGTCCTGGCTCTCCAAACTGAAGCTGAATAGCACTCTATATCTACAGGATGCTCTGCATCAGTCCATACATCTAGCTATATCTGAGATTAAAGTTTACTTAGAGGAGAGCTTTGGTAATGCAACTAGGATTGACTATGGAACAGGACATGAAATGGCTTTTGCAATGTTCCTCTGTTGTTTGTATAAAATAGGACATTTAGTCGCTGAGGATAATGTAGCAGTAGTTTTCTTAGTGTTTAACAAATATTTATCTATTGCAAGAAGGTTACAGAAAACATACAGAATGGAACCTGCTGGCAGCCACGGTGTGTGGAGCCTGGATGATTACCAGTTTATCCCCTTCATTTGGGGCAGCTCCCAACTTATTGATCAGCCAAGAATATATCCACCAGCCAAGTTCTTGGAAGATGATATTATTGAGAAATATCACAATGAGTACATGTTTATTTCTTGCATTAAACATATTAAAGAGGTGAAAAAAGGTCCGTTTGCAGAGCATTCTAATCAATTGTGGAGTATCAGTGCAGTAGGTTCATGGACCAAGATCAATCAAGGTCTCATTAAGATGTATAAAAAGGAGGTGTTAGCCAAATTCCCAGTTATTCAACATGTGCTGTTTGGGTCTCTGTTACCTATCAGGAGGTTCCCTCTCAATCACTAAGAGGAGTGAAGCTGATTATTGTGGCCAATATAATGCACTCATTGTGCTGAGATATGGATATTGAGATTGAGCAGTCCCAAAAAGAGAGGTGAAAAAAGAAATTATTTATTTCAACAATTATTTTGTTTCTCTGTTTATGTATCCAATTGATATTAACTTATATTCACTGCCTTATGATTTAGCCTTATTTATAAATGAATATTGTATATTTGGAACAAAATTCAGTATTATGAGTTGTGCAATTTGTAATGAGTCTCTGTCACTAAAATAATTACCTTATAATTGTATTTGTTGTAATGTAGTATGAGATACTAATTGGTGGCTAAATGGGCGGGTGAGCACGCCAGATAAGTTCGACGCGGCGGATTGACGTCATGTGGCTTATCAGATAGTGAATTGGTATTTGGTTGTCTTCCTTATTTCATATTGTTATCTTTGTATCCATTTAAGTAGTTTTATTACTTTCAGAACTAAAGTATATGTTTTTGATTGCCTAATCTAAATGTTAGGTGAATGAGAATCAAAGTACTTATATATTTACTCATGTATCTATGTGTAGGTAACAGTTTTGTGTGAAGTTATATAATTGCTCCTACACCTACAGTCATATATTACGTACTGGTGTGAACTTTGCCCCTCCAGCCTTATTATTATAATTACCATTTATTACGTATATACTACGCTATTGTTTCCAATAAAATAATTAATTATGCTATTTTGTGATATATTTTAGGTGGTAGGCGTCTGTCGTTAACTTAGCACCTAACTACGATGTCTTGTCACTTGTTACTAATAAATATCTTCAAATAAATACTGATTTTGTTTATATCTGATACGTCTCTCGAATCAGTTTCATTTTTTTTCAGTAGCAACACTACCTACAATGGTTATGATGAAATGATTTAAAAAAACGTTGGAATTCTACAGCTGGTATTTAATTCCTTTTTTTAACAATAATAACGTCAAATATTCACATAAATTAACACAGCCATACTGCATACACTTTACAACACAAAGGCAAACATTATCTATACAGTTACATAGGACATATTCAGTGTCAGTCAGAAGGTGATCTGTGATCTGCACAGAATTTTATAATAAAAAGTAAAATTTTGTGTGTAATCACGATGTAATATAATTATTACACGATTACTCGTTTTGTTTCATATTAAAGACCTTCGAATTTTAATGTATCGAATATCGATGATAGTACATATCAAAATTGATAGATATATCTTCGCATAAACAGATAAGGTATCTCTTTGCCTATCTCATTGTTAGGACGGTAGAACTACCATACACCTTTTTGGCATATAATAATGAAATATACAAGTCATTGCTACAATATTATCAAACACAATTAGGTACTATTTGATTATCTCAGCAAGTAACAGTGCCTCGATATATAAAATTTAATACTTAAAAATTAAAATACAGTAACTTCTATGTAGGTAATCATCAATATTGAGTTAAGAAATAACAAAAGAATATCACTTTATCTGCTCATCAGCTCGTACTTAGTGCAATGTGCATCAATAAAAATTTTATTTCATCATTCGGTTATAAAACTCGTTTCACACCTCGCATTTTACACAAAAGAGTTCTGATTTCAGAAGTTTTAACCACAAGTGAAGAACACATGGATTACCTACACGGCCGATATTAAATAGATACCTAAAAGTACTATACAAGTTACAGCCAATATTTAGTGCTCGTTAGATTTCGGTAATATGGCGAGATCTTCCTTGGGCTTGTGGTTGAAGTGGTTGTTGTACAGTGTATAGACCATGCCGGCACAGAGAGCGCCGACGGCTGTGCCTTGGGCAATCACACGGAACTGCATTAGGAAGACGCTGGTGCTCATCTTGCCACGGTTCTTGTACGCCCAGCCTCCGTAACCGACGGCTCCTGCACAACCTGCGATGGCTGTGGAAGAAATGTAACAAGAACTTAGTGAGAAGACTCTAAGACTGCGTGATGAATTAAGCATAGATGAGTCAGAGACACTTGTTAATATAAATAGGCACTGTTTCATTTGTATCGGTTGGAAGCTTTTCATTAGATTTGTCTTGGTTAATCAATTATCAAGGACCGCTACCCGACAGTAGTACCAAGCTTTTTATGTAGGTATGGATTTTGTAGAATAACTCTCCCCAGAGTTTCCTTCATTCTTCTCTCAAACTAACCTCAAAATAATGTTTCTTGACTTTGAATATCATCTAATGACTACCGCCCTAGGTGAAGCGAGAGAGAGGTTTAGGCTGATGGACTAAAACAAAATCCCTGACCGTTCCGAGCCGGGGCCGCGCTAATTTATTGTAGGTACTTGCAACCCTGCCCGGAAAGGCTCATTGGGTTTCTAACCCTATTTTTAACAAGGAATAAGACAAATAGTCTGTATATTGCAGACTATAAGTATATAGAGCAAACGAATTGTAAACCAGGATATTTCGCTCTTACAACATGTAGATACCTATCTGTAGAACATACAAATATTTATTGTGGAATCTAATTGGAATAAAGATTCCAGCAGCATAGCAATTAATAGTTCAGTATTCGTATGAACATTAAAGTCTATATTTAGCTGGGAGCCTGGGATCGAATCTATAGCGTGTGAAGTTACAGCAAATAATATATCTATCTACCATTAGTTATACCTACAGTTTCTATTTATCTATGGCGTATAAGTGATTACTTAGTTATCTATTAATTCAATTCAATTAAGTAAATGGACCATCGCCTTTCTACTTTCAACTGTTTTCTGATTTCATTAATTCGAATTGTTTGACGTCATTCACTGAACTAGGTATAATACTTACTTATAAATATGCGCTTTGTTATTGCGAGGCACGTTGCTTACAACATAGGTAGCTTTAAGCTTCTAATGCATTCCACAATACCTACATAGGTTTTTTTATGTAATAAGTCGGCAAACGAGCAGACGGATTACCTGATGGTAAGCAATCAGCGCCGCCCATGGACACCCGCAACGGAGGAGTTACGAGTGCGTTGCCGACCTTTTAGGGATTAGGTATTTGGAGATTTAGGGATTGGGGGCGGGGAAGGATTGGGCTTCCGGTAACCTCACTCACACGGCGAAACACAACGCTGTGGTTGTTTCACGTCGGTCTTCTGTGAGGCCGTGGTATCACTCCGGTCGAGCCGACCCATTCGTGTCGAAGCATGGCTCTCCCACACTTAAAATTGAGATCTACCTATATCTACCTAATTTTAGGTTTAGGATAAGATATAGATAGGTATATAGAAGAATGAAGTGTAATGTTCCACAATGTCTGAATCAGAGTCACTATTATGTATCTCGAAGAAAACCGGAGTTTTAGCGATACTTACCCTACGTTGTGTTTCGCCATGCTATTAAATGAGGTTACCGGAGGCCTAATCATTCTTCCCACCCTCAATCCTCAAATCCCTAGTAACCCACAAGAGGCCGACAACGCACTTGTTTCCTTCACACACCTTTGGTATAACGAGTATCCATACGGCGTTGATTGCCGGATGGTACCATCATCAGGTAGGTAATCCGTCAGCTCGTTTACTGACCTATGCTATAAAAAAATGATGGCCAATATAAAACAAACAGATAGTCACCTAGAACCATAAACGGAGATTCCTTGGACTTTCGCACCAGTTTCTCGCTCTGGCTCTCCTCATGGTAGTCGAATACTGGTTTTTCCTGCGCCATTTCTGCTACTGAAATGAGGAAAATTTTATTATTAGTTTCGTCGTGGTAGCCTTTATTGATGTTTTGCGTCCGTGTCGATGTCGAATGGCTGAGAATTTTATATGTCACGTAGTAAACTGCTACCTCTTTTATTGTTAGGTAGGTACTTAATTGTTTTGCTATTGTTGTAAGTAGGTACCTATAGTACCTATCTAGGCAGCGTTGTTAATCGTTAAGGGTGTACAGAATAATACCTACAGATTATATGTAAATCGTACTTTTTTGTCTTTTTCCCCTGATACCTATATTAACATTTTTAAACACGTAGGTACACCGAATAATATTCGTGCGAGTGAGAGTGCGGAACCGGAACACACCACTACTGCACTAGCGCTAAGAACAAGTCAATAGGTACATCAAGTATTGACTGAGTGCCACTTTTTTTAGCGCTGTGCAGCTTTAGGAAAATTAAATCTAGATATCCGTACCTATACCTAAAGTGTAGGTACATGGTTCCTTAATTTACACTATATTTTTAGGTATTACTTAGCTTTACTTTTAGTATTAAATCCTTTTGAGTCCTCTATGTCAGGTAGATAAGACTAAGTTTTTCATTGACACTATCCTTACCTATTTGTTTATTATAAACACTGTAAATTCGAAGTTTCGTAAAGAAAGATGTACCTACTTCAATGTAATCAACATTGAAGTTGAAGCACATTTCCACAGGGGAATTCCTTCCGAGCGTAGGTTTGTGTACATTTGTGTAGGTATTACGTAAGTAAATAAGAACGTAGATGTATGATTATGAGTAAGAATTTATGACGTAGGTACGTACCTATCAGTCTCAATTTATTAACAAGCAAATGGTAATAAAAACTTGGTTACAGGCGGATGTTAAACTTATAAACCATGACTACTTTATCGTACATAGGTAGAGGCACCTATCTCAGTAAATAATTTTGCGATAGATAAGTAGCTGATATAAGGACACCCACTCTATTTTTAACAGTGCTTAGTGCGTTGCAAAATGATAGCTGGTGTTACTTTTTACATGACTAGAATTCAAAATATTATATTATTTAAGGTAATATTAATTAAACGCCCTAAAATTAAACGCCATTAAACGCCGCGAATTTAAGCACCTATCAATCCTTCAACAATACCAAAATAAATAGGTACCTACTAAGTTGGTATTGTTGATCGAAGCACCTATCAGAATAAAAATGCGAATGTTAAACAGGACATCACCTGTATTACTTACTGGATATTTTCTCTTATATCTTTTAATAACTGTTTGATTTTAAAAACTGCTAGTACCTATCCTGTATTTGAAGCGATTGGACTAACATATAATCTGACTTCGCCCAACTCATTTTAAAACATTAAATCTTAAGACTGATCTACAAGGTTACGCTGCCGGCTCTATTTTTATAGATTTTCGAGAAACGTTCATATCAAACATAATCTTTGAAGCGCCAGGTTCATGGTCATATGACTGCGTGACTGGCTAGGCAATAGTTCCACTGAATTATATTTTTTTAATCTCGCCTCGCTTCACTCATTTCTTCGATTTCCTCAACTCGAACGTACCTATTAATACGTCGTGCATAGTGTCGCGTGTACACCATTAGTTGTGGAATAAATAATTTTGTTATTAATAATTGTAAGTACTAAGTAACCACTTCACTTTTTCCAAAAAAATCGTCACATTTTTGGTTATCAAAGATAGGGGACATGGAAACATATTTTGTGTCACACAATTCAAAACACACGTTCGCTTGCGTTCAGGCTAGGTCCATTTACACTTGTTGAATAATAAATATTTCATCAACGTAAACTGCGGTAAATAATTAAAAACATAATATCTAAATATACCAGTGATCACCCCTAATTACCTAATAAGAAATTACAGATAGCGGTGCAAAAAAACAACAAATAAAAAAATTGCATCACATTAAAGAAATATCACTAAATTGAACCACACTAACCTTGCTCCAAATCAAGGACACTTAAATTAAAGCAATTTATAAAACCACGACACTAACACGTGAAGTCTGGCGACTGACTGAGTGCGGGCCGGCTGAATGAGCCACAACAGTTCAATGATATCACTGACGATTGTCGCTGGGGATTCACATCACGCAGGATAATACATAATAATGCACTAGTCTTACTTATAATAATCCTATTGTACCGTTAGTTAAACACACTTTCGATCACGTACCTTTATTTTAGCTGCGATAAAGTCAGGGATTTACTGCGGGCAGATGGCGTGTGCGGCGGTTTTTAGCCTGAAATTGGGCTTGTTAACTCGTCTCCGTGTGAAGATTACGTGCGCAGCGACATAAGACGTGTGCTTTTTGCACTCGATGTTCGTTATTTCACGTTTATTTTAAGTTTTGTACATATTTATAACAATGGAAAAGTTCATTCGTGATAAACTTTAGCATCATTTCCAGAGGGAACCAGTTGTAGCTGTGTCCTAGCCAGTTTTTTTCTGATGATCTTAGACTTGTTTTCGTTACAAAACATTCAATAACTTTCTATAGTTATTTTTGTTTAAAACGGAGTGTGTACACATAGCTATGGAAAATTAAACAGTTGAAGGTCGTGGTAAAACAACTAACACAGTTTTAGTTCGACCGAGACCTTGAGGCGATAGGAATCGAGCAGCTGGTTGCGTCATAATATTATCATCAAATGTTATTTGCGTTTTTACTACCGAAGTACTTATTTTATAAAGCTGAAATAGAGTGAACCATTTCCTATTATTTTTCGTCGTTGTTTGATTTGACCTAACTCTCATGTGAGACGAAGTTCTGATGGGATTTACCTAAGTAGGTATAGGTACCTAGTATGTAAATTAAAAAAATTGTCTTGGTATGAGAGGAAATATACATGAGAGCTGTCTGTAGATGTAGAACCTACATTAGGTATTATCCCGTATTCAGGGACAAGCCCGATAAAACCTCCCAAAACAGAGGCATTTTTCATTGTGTAGGATCTCCATGAAGCAAATGGGTTGATGCTTCATAAGGATGTAAAAGAAGAAAGGTAGCTTCATACTGGTCATATCAACGGTGACTCTACGAGATTAATGCTATTGGTTACTAATTATCCAATCATAGAAAAGCGGCGTCAATAAAGTCTGACTCTTACTGACTAAAAACTGCCTCGTTCCTTCTGCCGGGCCGGGGCAGCGGCACATTACGCTTGCACTCCCAACACCGGCTGGATTGTGTACGGTGTACCTATCCTGTGCGTGTCCATTAGCTCCGATCCGCTCCCCGATTTATCAAACTGTTTAATTAGTTAACTGTATCTTTGTTATTTGTAAATCGTGTAGGTAAACAGTTTAGATATTTATTTTATTTCAACAAGTTCTGTATTCTTTAATTCCTTTTAATTACTTAGGTACCTACCTACCTACCTAATGAATTCTCTATATGTACTAAGAATGGATAGATATGAAATACCTTTTGCAGCATACTATGACATGCACGCATGTCTTGAACGTTAATTACGTGTAACAATCAACAGAAAATAAATCAAATCTTATTATACAGTTGTAATTTATCTATATAGATAATCATCCAATGAATCCTCCCACCATAGGTGTGGCAGGAAGGAGAGTCAGACTTACTTACAAAAAATACTAGCCCTTTTCTTTCTCCGCTCCGGACCGATACCTAATGGGGTTAAAAATAATGACCACCATAAAATGCTTTAGTACCTACCTTTAATGCCGTGCACGTCAAACACGTTGTGATATATATGTTACCTAATTTTTTTTTGGAAAAAAAATTGTAGTTTGTCGTCATTTTGCCTAGTAAGGATAGAAGACCAAGACCAAGGTCTTAATCTTGATGATCGTTTACTATTTTTGCCAGTTATATTTTACTAGGTACGAGTAGGTATATCTGCATCATCATCCACACATCCTCAATCCATTGTTTCATGATGTCACAATGTTTTGGACGTAAAATATTACAATTTACCTCCCGTTTAGAATCTTACGAAAGATTATAAACTTCCTAGTAAATTGATAAACTTACGGATCTGGTTATTTTCCGGTGGCATATACATAAATACCTACTAGCTCTTCTGCAAGCCACTTCGCCCGCGTTATACTTATACATACCTACAGTAAGCACACATTTTTATATTGTGTAGGAACCACTTATTAATGATGATGACATAAAAATGCTCAGTCAACGCGTGCGTAGTTACATTCTCTATCTCTATTACTGTTCGTTATGCAATATCAATAAGCTGTGTCAAGCCTTAGCCATTCAACATGTACCTAGATGGTGATATTGGGTCAATTAAATGCAATAAATCAATTTCTTAATACACGAACGAGGTTATGACGTTGTACACGGATCAAAGTCCCGTTGTTGATGAACGATATTGCATAACGTCACCGATTATCTTCCACTCGTGTGTTCTCTGTGCCATAATAAATAACATTGTTAGTAGAGTAAGAGGTCGAACAAAAGTTCGACATCTTGCTTTCTTTCAGTAGTTATAATGCAAATGCCTGAATACGCAGAAGGTACCTGATTTGATTTAAAGTTATCAATGCAATTTTATATTTAAATAAATGAATCTGTTTTACGATATTGTGTAGTTTTTTTGTGATGGGAAAATCATCAATAGCCTTCTTGCGGCCAAGTTGGGGCAAGAGGTAGTGTCAGACACATAGGTAGGTACTTACTGAGTAAGGGGGGTTTTGCCGTTCCTTCTCCTGCTCTAGACCGAGGCCGCGGTGCCATAATGCACTGACTCCGCAGCACCGGCTCCAAATCAGCCATAATATATGTCGCCCCGTCTGTGGTGGTCTATTTATTGTGTACTCGATATTCGTATTTTTCTAGCTGATAATAAAGTATGATTCAGGAAAAAAGCATGCTACATAATATGTGAATTGAAACTCAAAAATCCCGTCGTCATAACACACAATACCGTACTTACAAAATTCATAGAAAACGGTCGGTTTAGACAAATCGATAAAGATATTGAATTTTACTGGATATAAAGTACCCGATTAAATAACGTAGTGGTTATTAAATTATGTTACTATTTAACTGTTGGACATTCATGTATAAAAAATGTAGTTATGATGTAGGTACAAATAGACGATTTACATAGGCAATGAAACACAGTAAATAAATATAAAAATATTTTAATAGGCTTGTGGTAAATTAGCAACCTTTGTCGCCAGTTATTACAATATTGTGCAACATAAATAAATCGGATACATAAAGCTTAATTTTAGGCTGACTGCATACAATAAATAGTAACTTAAAAATCTGAATAAACTAAACCACACTGCGACTCAGTCCGCCGATAAATATAACGGTGTAACAGACAATAATTATTTATTTGGATTACAATTTCAGTTATTATTTGCGCATAAATTACACATACATTCATTTTTATTATTTGAGTACATTCATTTAAAAAATATAACTTTTTGACCATCACGGTTAGGTTACAAGACAATAGCCAACGAAAAGTATCATTTGGAAAAAAAACTATTATTTGTTGTCTATGCCCAACCGTGGCGGTGAAACTGTTAACATTCTAAATGATATTGATATACGTTTGTCTTTTCTTTGTGTAGTGGTTACCACTTTAACACTATGTATTCCTTATGGCCATACCACTTCGAAAAGCCATGTATTATTACAAAATCCCTTGAAAACTAAATATGAGATCCTAACACCATTATTAATTGAAATTGTAATCCACAGACAATCACAGAACATAACCTAAACTTAAATATTTGATAAAGCAGAAACATTAATTTAATAGAATATAATTTAATAGGTACAAAGTTACTAAAGTCACGTTATAATTTGACTTCACTTATGTCAATGTCCAATCCGTACTATTTATTTGAGAGGCTTTTAAATCACATATTTGCGAGCAAATCAATCACCTACAGCTACAAAGTGATTTGCACTCATAGACCAGGTTTTAAAATGATCCCAAAATTAAAATAATTTGATTCGGAACGGAAAAAATTGTGAGTTTTTACTATAAATCGTATTTTTTCCTGAAGACTTGGGATACTACAGACTTTTTTAAAAGGGACGATTAGGAAGTGATGGAATTACTAAGAGCTACGCTCTCGTGGTCAGTAGATAGAATTGTTAAAAGTTCTGATCGCCCAATCATACTTCGTTGTTGATATAAAGACCCAATGACAGGGTATTCGCAACTATAGGAAATAATCATAGAGCGATCCGTATGGTGTGTCTCATTAACACTGTATGCAACTGTATTAACATATTTGTGATGGGAGCAGTAAAAACAGTTAAAAACACGCAGAAAAACAGACCCGTGTTGGATAACATACAAATTCGTCGTCTACACATTTCTTAACATTTAGAATTTCTCTTTACCTAGAATTATAATTTATGTCTGATTAAATTATGAATATATGAATAAAAACGATATGATTCGCAGTTATCGCCATATTTTGTCGGCCATATTGTATTGCGCTAACATTTGCGCAAAGAAGGAAAGTAGATAGACAAATAAAGCTACAGTAATAGTCTTTTTTAATTTGAAATTTTGAATAAAAACTTTATTTGTCAAATATTTTAAAAACAAATTTAACTTAATAATGTTAGTATTTTAAAGTCGAAATCGAAGACTATAACAGGCTGGTTGATTTCTTTGCGCAAATTAGCGCATGAAAGTTTTTAGCCTAGGTAAAATAAAAGGCAATAACTGTAGATGTATATTGTCGTATAAAGATCACAATCAATGACGAATACAAGCCAATGAAGGAACTAAGTATTGTCACCGTCCATTTGTTATTAGCGACTTCTAAGACCTCGGAATATAATTTACTAAAGGAATTCGAGATATTATTTGTCGTGTGGACGTCCAAGGGAAACAAAAAAAAATGTTTGAAATTATTACTATTGCGTCTACCTCCTGTGTAGGTACAGTATTAGGAAGCCATTGGAAGTTTACAAGCGTCATTTAATAAATGTACATAATTAATTCAAAATTCAATGTTGTGGTAAGAACCCTAAGAGAATGTACATATGTTTTAAAAAATTTTGCAGATATAAAGTACTTAATAAACTTTACTCAATGTTGCTGTTCCGTATAACTACAAGTTTGATATTCGTAACCTGTAAGGCACTGAACATTTAAAGCCTTTACAAGTTTCAAGACTGTTTTATTAAGAAGAACCTATGAAATCATTTTGTACGAGTATTAAAAACATAAAAGATGTCATGACTTTAAATAAATCTATTCATAGTTAAACAAAACAATACCTTTTGAATTTCAAATCGGTTCATATAAATTAAAATCCGCTTTAAATCTTTTCGAGCGCAGCCATTGAAAAACAAAGTATACTAAATATTATAATTATTTATTTAACACTATAACGTCAAATAATTGTGCCTACGAATAACCCGTTTCAATACCTGTTTGGTTGAATACCCCGACTCCTATTAATCGGCTCGTACTTGCGCAACGATATGTATATTTTGCGCAAACGTAATTCTACATGACTGTTTTGCGCAAACATCTATTTTAATGCGCAAAGATACATAATGTACAATATACAATTTTAAATAAGAATCGGCTGATTAAAAGTGGTACAATTGAAATCAACAAAGCCGGTTAAAGAAAATAATAATAACGATAATAAGAATCGGGTAATTCAAACACATTATAACACATACCTGTTTTAGCTACAGCGCAAACGTGTGACGTCATAGCTTCTCGCGTCCACACGCATAACAAACGGACTATCACTGACTTGCTTTGGCAAGACAACGGTGCTTTGCACTCCTAGTACATAGAAATTTAACTACACAGTTTATTTATAGCACTGTCTCATTGGTACTGGCTGGGGGCACTTGAGGAGACCTTCTCTAGCTTCTCGAAGTGTTTGCGCGCGTTCCTGATGTTGATGAGGGTTGCTTCCGAGGGTATCTTGGGGTCCGACATCTCGACCATAACGTAGGTATTGCTTGTGAAGCCGTCTATGAAAGCCGCGAACACGCTGTTGCGCACCTGGGAATGAAAATACGTTCTTAATTTTTGCTTGCGCATCATTTTACTGTTTTTATGATATGGCCTTTATAAATGCCAATATTTCTTGGATTTCATAAGTATTTTCTCATTTATCTTCTTAATGGACACTACCGTGGAACAAACAAAATGTATTTAAAAAAAAACCATTTACTAATGTGACTTAACCGAGAAAAACTAATAATTTCCTTTTTTATTAATGTTCAGCGTCAACTATCAACTACATTACTTAATATTCTACTATACGAAATTATATAAATTGTTTTATAAATCCTTAATTTTATTTAAAAAGACTCAAAAGATAATCTCATCTCGAGGCGCGCTGACATAATCGCCCAAGGAACATTTTTGGTGCCAAGCCTTCATTAGCCAGCATTAGCGTCAATTGGTTCAAAATTATTTTAGAAACGTTTTAAATTAAAAATCTATTTGCTGCGTACCTCCATGCTCTGGAACTGAGCAGCTAGCTTGGAGCAGGACAGCTTGAACTGCTTGACGATGTTGGACACCTTCTCGAACCGGTGCGCGTCGCGGTGTGCGCGTTGCTGGCAGTGAGATACTACCAGGAATGTTGCACGCTCGAATAGTAACACCTGCAGACAAATACCACCATTATTTACTTAGCCATAAGGACCAATATAGGCCTCTCAAAATATTACAGACCCGAATAATCTACCTGCAGGCGAATAACACTTTTATTACTTTCATTGGTACAGACTAATCTTGGTCTTAAGATGCACTGAGTGTACAATATTTGTGCTATAGTAAATTGAGGGTTTATAGAACATTATTGTATGTAGTTTTAGATTATCGTTATCTTCTTTGTTGTACGTTCCATTTAAAAAACATAAAAATTCACATACACAATGCACCCAGATCCAGAAAAACAGTTTAGTGATTACACAATGATTTGACACCAGAGAAGGACTCGACACCAGTAAAGGTTGCAAGAGCGTTGCCGGCCTTTTTTTAAGGAGGAGTAGGTACGATCGTTTCTTGAAAGTTTGAAGGTCGTATCAGTTCGGAAATAGTATAATTAATTGCGAGATAACTCAAGAGTGACTGAGTCTGCTCCAGTTTTCATTCTTCCAAAAGCAAATACAATACGGTAGTTTCCAACTAGTCAAATTCAATACTTTTATCCAAACGTCAAAAACGATAATTTTCTATGAAAGGACATGGCCAAAAAAGTACATTCCACGTACACACACATAATTAATACACTGTAAAATAAAAATATAAATATTAATTATTGCGTAGTTTTTAGTCTCTCCAGACCTGACAATTATTATTAAAAAAATGTAAAAGTAATGCATGGAAACGTACAATCCGTATACTTGTGTATACGGATTGTACGTTTCCATGCATTCCATGCATACATTATAAAATACACTGTAAAATAAAAATAGAAAAATGAATTATTACGTAGTTTTATTTTATTTATTTTCCTTAATACATAAATCATTATTATTAATTCTTTTGTTTTATTTTATAAATAAATAATACGCCTTATGGTTTTTAATAGCAAATCCTATTTTTTGCTTATTGCCAGTAATCTGACAAAAGGTTTAGTGAAATTATTATCGTCTAGTGTGTTGTAATGACAAATTCTTCATGTGTTTTATTTATCGCAATTTAATGTAGCAATGTTCACGGATGTAAGACCTCAAAAATCATTGACAATCCTTGAATTCAATAACTATGCCAACGCTCATACAGAAACGAACATTCCATATACACAAACATGATAAAATACACTGTAAAATAAAAATATATAAAAGTGAATTATTACGTAGTTTTATTTTATTTATTCTCCTTAATAAATAAACCTTTATTTTTTATACCTATTTTTTTGTTTTATTTAATAAATAAATAAATAATTCAAACGCCTTAAGGTTTTTAAAAGCAAATCTTATGTCGACTAAAGGTTTAGTGAAACTATTTTCGTCTTGTGTGTTGCAATTACGAGTTCTTCATGTGTTTTATTTATTGCAATTTAATTTAGCAATATTCACGAATGTTAACACAAAAAATCATTGATGTGCCTTGAATTCAATAACTATGCACACGCCCATACAAAAATTGGCCATGTCCTTTGTATGAAAAACTGAGCTATGACGTCATAACTTTTTTGCGTCAAATAGCTTACTTATTTCTTAATAATTAGCTAAAAAAATCTAAAACTTAGTGTATCGATCGATCGATGAATAAAAGTATAGTTATTTTTCAATATTTTATTGTATTGAAACGTCGAAATAATTTATTTTTGACCTAGGAAACTACACAATTATATGGTGATAGTTAAATTATGTACGTGCGTTCCTTACCTCATCTGCATCCACGATTTCCGCGAACTGTTTGAGTGACGACTCCAACGCTTTCACGTTGGGTATTAGCTTGTAAACTATGCTCGACCACGCTCTGCAAATAATAAGGTTTTATGTCAGTAACATAATACGATTGACACGCTACATAAGCAGGATACTTATACGTAATCTAAAAGATCTTGCGAACTCCTTACGTCCTAATAAAGTTTAATAATAGGTATAAATTTTGTTCCTTGTCAAAATAACTAATTTCAGTTACAGAAAACTTTTATAAGTATCTGAAAAAAATCGCTGTTAGTATTATACTCGCATCTTTGACACTAGACACATTTTTGTACCCTACCTAAGCTTCTATATTTTTTATCAAAATCGAAAAATTTTGCCACACCGATGCAGCCGTTTTAAAGTTTAACGCGAGACTTAAGAACAGCAATTTTATATTATTAATATGTAGATTTTTTACTTATAATAACGTATAAATAAAATTAAAGTATTACAGTATTATTGAAATATCTTTCTCTTTCCAAGTTCAAGTCTCAAAATTAGTAATATCCTCTTCCTATATTATTAACAAACCAACACAAATAGAAAAAGTGAGACGTATATCTATAGTTGTAAGAAAAACCGTCGTAGGCAATCACAGTGATTTGGTAGCTTCATTTTTTTATATGTGTAAAGCGACCCGACCGGATTCCCACGAATGCAATGCTAGTATTAAACTTCTTTACTATAATATATAATAGCTGTAACCTATAATATAGAAATGAATCGCAAAATGTGTTGGTAAGCGCATAACTCAAAAACGCCTGGACCAATTTTGACAAATCCTTTTGTTTTGTATTTATTATTGTCTTATGTAATAAAAATTAAATATATAAGAAAAGTAAAAGGATAAATTGGGGAAAAGGGACCCTTTCATTGTTAGCGAGATAGTTGAACCCTCGCGAAGCGGGGGTGGGTTGCTAGTTATACATAGAACCATACTCTCATATTACTCTATCCATTAAAAAAATTGCATCAAAATCTGTTGCGTAGTTTTAAAGATTTAAGCATACATAGGGACATAGGGGACAGAGAAATCAAGCGACTTTGTTTAATACTATGTTAGTGATAACATTCTATATGCGCTGAGGTATATATACTAAATACATATATGGCACACAGCAACAGCAATGTATATATATGTGCGTCACATCGATTTGAGATAAAAGGTTACGACATTGAATGCATATAGGTACCTACCTACCGAGTTATATTAATACTTTTATACAATTTATGGAAACAAAGTTTTAATTTTAAATACATATTATTTCGTAACAAAATCAATTGTCTGTCTTTTTGTTTATAAACTCAAAAACAGATAATCACATAGTGAAAACTGCACTATACGTCGATAATAGTCCAAGTTAAACCCGTCCCAAATCCGAATTGAAAGTAGCCCATATTACTATGTTATTACTAGCTTCCGTCTGCGGCTTTACCTGCGTGATATGTTGATAAAAATCAACCTATATGTCAATCCAGGGAATCGCCTATCTACATACCAATTTTCAACCAAATCGGTCCAGCCGATACATACTACATCTAAACATTTTTACAAACTTTCACATATATAATATTAAATCTATCTGGTCATTTACTTATTAAGCACCATATTTTGGACCGACAATTAAAAAGCCCGAATATATACATTACTAATATTGATACAGCTACCCATCTTTGTCAAGTATTAATTTTATGATCTTATGTATCATGCAGCTAACTCACTTGTATAAAGTTTCATCCCATATACTAGTTCTGAAGCACGTGCATTCCAGAGGCTTGGAGAGCCTCTTCAGATCCTCCTCCCTCTCCTTGAAGATCTCCTCGCGCTGCTCTTCAGGTACCAAGTCCATTTTGTGCACCAGACAGAAGATCCGCGCTTCTGGAGAGTTCTGGGAAATAATTCATTGAATTTATTAACTATTTTGACTATAATAATTGTGATACATTTTAAAATTATCAAGCATTTAATACAACTAGTGACAGTTACGTATTTTACTCATATTTATGGAGTCCGGCGTGGCTCGAAACTAATCGACTCACCTTGTTAAAGAGTTACGTGATTTGATATTAAAATTAAATAGTATTTAGTAAAAGTGGTCGGGCGCATACTGATTAAGATTTGTTTTATTGCATGATTAAATATGGTAATCTCATTGATTAAACAAAGACTAGTTCCATATGGGAATGGAGGTGGCGGTACACTTGATAGAGTCAGTGCCACTATGCTAACTGTGCAGTGATTATGTAAACATATTAAAATGTCTTATTTATAGCTATGTTATTAATTTATATACATAAATCATTAGTCTGATAAAGTAATTACGAGTAATGAACAATAGTCTCGGTGACAATTGAATATCATTAGGTGTGCAAATATTTGTTGATAGAATTAGTAATAATTTGCTTTCTACATTATCCAGTTTTTTAGAGTTATGTGGTAAATTGTGAGCTGGATTGCCTTTGTCCAATAGTGGACTGAAGAAGGCAGTTGATGATAATGATGATGATTGATGTGGCCAAATTTTAAACTCCTGTAAAGATCTTGCTCTTAATAAAGATAATGTCTAAATGAAGTTATTTATTCCCTAAGCAATGAAAAGATATGTGTCTAAGAAATGGGTATCACATCATCCCTATTAAGTCAATAGCAATGTTTACTGCATAATAATTACAAAATATGAAATGGAATGTGTGTTGCTTGCAATATTTATCTCATGCCTCTTGATTTCATTACATCTACATTTGAAAAACCTAAAATATGTCTGCTTTATCAAATAAATACAGCAGATTGATATTTTAACATTTATAAAAATACTAGCTCTTACCCGCGGCGTCGCTCCCGTTGTTTGACTACCTACCCTACTTACCGTACCTACTCTACTTTACCTACCCTAATTTACCTACCCTACTTTACCTAACCTATTCTACCTACCCTACTCTACTCTACCTACTCTATCCTATCCTATGTCCTTCTCCTGGCTCTAAACTACCTCCCTGCCAATTTCAGCTAAATCGGTTCAGCCGTTCTTGAATTATAAGTGGTGTAACTAACAGGACTTTCTTTTATATATATAGATTAAAGCTTTGAAATTATTGTTATATTAGTTTTTGTAGATTACAGATTAAAATTTAGGCATTTATAATATTTATTACTATAAACTGACTATGAAAGTAAAGCAGAAAATAACGATCATCTATCTTTGTATTACTCATGCCCTAATAGTGATTTCTTAAACGTACTGATAGGTCACTGTTTTAAGTTGGTACCATGTTTGATTAATGTAACATATAATTTGAGTGTTTCAATACAAGTAGTTTGTAAATATACCTTTAAAAATGCCTTACAATATTTATAAATACATTTGTTTTTTATGTTACCTGTAAAATAGCCTCCAAACAGGACTGGTAGTAATGCATGTCTTTCTCCATCTCTCTGCTTTCCACATCAAATACATAAATCAGTACTTCAACATTCCTGAAGATATTGTCTCTTTGTGAGGCGAAGTAGTTCTCCATGAATGCTTCCTGCCCTCCGCAGTCCCACAGGTTGAGCACCAAGTTGCCAAGGAAACGAACATGGGAGTGTTCTACGTCAACTGAAATAATACAAATATTTTTTTTAAATATAATTGTTAATTTATCTTTATAATTTTTTTTTTAATCCCTGACGTGATAATTCTATACACAGTTCATATATTACAGTCAATTGTTCTAATATGATTCACATTGAACAAGTCATGTAATTCAATAAGTTAGTTTAAAATCCTAAAAGAAACTCTTTTGTCATCTGACCTTTTCCAATTACAATCCACATATTTCTTTATGTAAAGACCCATTGGAAGTTTAATGAAGTTTAAGAAACTTAAATGGATACAAAAACATTCATTGGAATGTTAAGCTAATAAGCTTACTTTAGTTCAATTTGTACTCATTGTTACAAGAGACTTGAATTGTTTTAATGATCTTTACATAACTGCAACATATGGAATAGATATTGTCCTGAGGCTAGCAATGAGAACCTAAATAAGTAGGTATCCATTTACAGTACATTCAAAGTATGAGTCAATCACAGGATGCAATAATATACAATACACATACTTTTACCGACTAATGTGGACTGTATTATATTAGTAAGACTAATGACAACTAAAGTTGTGTAATTACTTTCTTGTATATATTTTACTTAGTACTGATACCTATGTACATATTTTTCGGTTGGAAACATAATCATAGATATGGCCAAATGATCACTTACTTGTAGCACCCAATCTTCTCGTATCCCTGGCGATATAGTTCGCAAATATGATAGACCTCATACTCGTCTTTCCCGAACCACTTTTGCCCATTAACAAAACCTGACAAACAAAAGAAAAACATGAAAAACACCATCGCGAAGGTAAATATTACCAATTTTTATTAGGTTCCGATAACGTGTTTGTTTTGAATAATTAATTAAGTGATTACAATCAAGTTTATCTATTTAAATACGCACCTTTTTCTTCATGTTGACGAAGTTTTACTAGGTCAAGGGTTCAAAACTTTATAAGCATTCAATAGTATTAGCCACAGATAAGCCTATGTTCAACACAAGTGCAACTGAAGATGACTGTCTAATAATCAATTATTGGTTTCTCCTCTCAGTTTAAAATTCAATAAGAAAAAGAAAAGTAGGCGTAATTCCCAATCACGACAAAGCCAACAACTTCATTGTAATAGTATGACAGCAGACAGATCTCAAAATGACAGTTACTATTAGACTAAATTGACAACACATTTTTATTCTGTCATTAGCTCGTCGTTCAAAAAGTGCAACCAACCACATTCTTGCTATACCTGGGATATTTTTATATCCCAGTTAGAACAGGCTGCTTTTTACAGAAAAATTAATGATGTATGTCGTATGTTACTAAATATAACTTTTTTATTTGTAGCTAAGACAGTAATTTTTTTGTTATGGTATTTCAGTCTGCTGCTCCATACTTTAATGATTAGTATTTCTACACGTACTGAAAGTAACATTCCACGTTGCGTTCCTTAAATTGAAAATGTTTAATTAAAAAAATATTTATGAAAACATTTAAAAAGTTTTAACTAATTCATTCATTTAAAATTATTATTTGTAGTATTAAATTAATGTGAACCATTTTCATTTTAATTATTTTGAGGTTATTTTTGGGATATACGGAATTTACTAAATTCGGAACGCATTGTTATTGTGTCACGTACGTCACAGTGTGTGTCATCTTGTGTGTGAATTGATAAATTGTCAAAAAAGTGCTGGAAGATTTGAGAAAACGTGTGATTTTTCCCGAACTGTCCTGCAATATGTTCATATTTAAGTAAAACTTGAATAATTTATACAAGTCTCCAAAATGGCTCGACACCGTGACTTCCGAAATAGGACTTTTTCTGACGACTACGACGATGACGATGTTTATGGACACTCCGTGGAAGAGGAAAGTTGTATGTCGCCAAGCGACGCAGCGCAGTGGATATATGATCGTAGCCGTAACCAGCAGGTACAATTCTTGCAGAACCACAATAACATCCAAGAAGAGACTGAAGAAGATTTGGCAGATACGAGTTTCTCATCACAAGAGCGACGTGAATCCATAGACTTACGAAGCTTAAACCTCGATGAAGACGACGAAGCCAAGCTCATGTCTTGTTTAGATGAACTTAGAAATGTTATCGGTGAAACTGTTTCTGACAACATACTCATTCAAACTGTAATTATGCACAAATTTGATTTCAGTAAGTCACTTGATGACATATTAAATAGAAAAAGCAAGGAACCTGACGTTCCTAAACCTGAACTTGTAAAACCAGTAGTCCTCATTGATCCTGTAAAAGCTCCAGTTATAACTACTGTAGAAACAACTCCAAAAGTTGTAGCAACTAATTTAGAACCAAAGACTGTGGGTGTTGTAAAAGGTTTCAAAGTTGGACAAGATGGCAGCTCTAGCAGTAGACCTCAGACACCTAGAGACCAATCACCTTGCACAGAGAGGTTATCAAAGACTGAACAGAAAGAAGTTGATGAGGTTAAATCAACACCCAAAGTAAAAGAAAATAAAGTAGATGTCAACACACTATACGCAAATGAGAGAGGATCGGACAAAGACCACTTGTACATAGTTGTTATTGGTCATGTTGATGCTGGCAAGTCTACACTGATGGGCAGACTTTTATGCGAACTCGGAGAAGTAAGTCAGAAAACTCTCCACAAATATGAACAAGAAAGCAAGAAAATTGGTAAACAGAGCTTCATGTATGCATGGGTGTTAGATGAGACTGGAGAGGAAAGAGTGAGGGGCATAACAATGGACGTAGGAAGGGCTCAATTTGAAACAAAGACAAAAAGAGTTATAATATTAGATGCCCCCGGTCATGCAGACTTCATTCCTAACATGATAACTGGTGCTGGCCAAGCAGATGTTGCTTTACTGGTAGTGGATGCCACTCGGGGTGAATTTGAGTCAGGCTTTGACTTGGGAGGACAGACAAGGGAGCATGCTCTGCTAGTGAGGTCTTTAGGTGTTAGTCAACTTGCTGTCGCTGTTAACAAATTAGATACATCCAATTGGTCCCAAGAAAGGTTCAATGAAATCACAAAAAAATTGAAAGTTTTCTTAAAACAAGCTGGCTTTAAAGACTCTGATGTGACATATGTGCCATGTTCAGGATTGACAGGGGAGAACTTAGTAAAGTCTCCAATAGAAGCCGAGTTACTAAAGTGGTACAATGGACCTTGCTTATTAGATGTTATTGATAAATTCAATGTTCCTGAGAGGCCTGTGTCAAAGCCTTTGCGCTTATCTATAAATGATGTGTATAAAGGTACTGGCTCTGGGTTCTGTGTGGCAGGCCGCATAGAGAATGGTGTAATCAATAAAGGAGACAAAGTTCTAGTGTGTCCCACAAAGGAAATGGCGGAAGTTCGAAATATAAGCATTAATGAAATGCCTAGTAATGTTGCTTTTGCTGGGGATCAAGTCAGTGTGACATTGACTGGAGTGGACATGCAGAATGTTTCCGTAGGATATGTTTTAAGTGATCCCATACAGCAAGTGCCTGTCACCACAAGGTTTGAAGCCAGAATTGTAGTTTTTAATGTCAAAGTACCTATCACAAAAGGATTTCCAGTACTCATTCATCATCAATCACTGGTTGAGTCAGCAAACATAGTGAAGTTGAAGGCTTTATTGAACAAAAGTACTGGCGAGTTAGTGAAGAAGAAGCCTCGCTGTTTGGGTAACAACTGTGTGGCTGTTGTTGAGATAGAGGTGTGTCGGCCGATCTGTGTGGAAAGGTACAAGGATGTGAAGGAGTTGGGACGCGTGATGCTTCGCGTCGCTGGTACAACGATAGCTGCCGGTCTCGTCACAGATATAGTCAACACATGATTGATCTGATAAGCCTTATCATTGTTTAAACTTTAAATGTTATGGCATCTAAAGTACATGATTATAGTCTTAAAATAATTAGATTATGATTATAGAGAATATTGTTGCTTCTATTATAATTTTTATGAAATATTTTCGTCAGTCTTCCATTTGTAATGGACTTTTTTTACGTTATCAGATGCTATCTTCAATGGAATTTGGTACTATGTGACATAATATTTAGCAGCCTTTTGGGTGATAATTCAATTAGGCAATTTTGTCATGCTGTTCAAAACCTAATGTGACAGTTGCCATAACATGAATCACGCTGCTGTGTACAATGCTGTATCAAGTGATTGTATTTAATTATTAAATATTATTTATAATGCAAATAAATTTGTTGTAATACCTATTTTGTTATCATTTTCTCTAATGACGAGACTGATTACGCGTTGCTTGGCACTGAAATTGTTGACTAACACACACACGTTGACTTACATAAATATTCTATAAAGAACACAGAATGATAAAATATGTGAAAAAAATCTCAGCTTTTCATCTTTATACCCGATTATTGATTAACTCAATCGGAAGCAAAAAAGTCTTGAGAAAACAATATTCGATATGAAGACATAAAAGAGTTTCAACAATATTTGCCGAGCAAAATGCGACAAGGAAACAGTTTCCATCCAGGACCAAGAGATTTAATTTAGATAAGTAGTTTGCCGACGACAGCTTGTTATGTGCGCTGCAATCAACAGACTGAACATTTGTAGCTATCTCAAGTCATGCCAAGTTTTTTTTTAAGTACTAGGTTCTTGTAATTTTTATGGGATATCTGAAGATGAACCTGGTTACTGTCGCGTCATTAAAATACATAAATCCTCGTCTACTAATGTAAAATATTCTGTTGTCAGGTTTAAAATTATTTACCTCTGTATTTTTGAATATAAAACCTAAATGTCTACCTGTTATGCTTCTAAAAATACACCTGCTTTTGTTAGAAGCTATCAAAACATATTTTACTACATCCTAAAATATATTTCATGGCAGCTAAGAATGCCAGAAGCAGTAGCGCAGCGTTGCTGTGTCGTGACTCGTGTCAACGTTTGTTCGCTGAGAGGTGCCAAGTGTCGCGTTCGTGGCAGGAGTCGTGAAATTTAATTTCCTACTAATTTCCCAGCACTCGGCAGTTCACTGTTTACTCGCTCCACCACGACGGGCGCCACAGCCTTTAGCGCTTTTCAATTCTGTTCATCGATTTCCATTTAGTTATATTTTCCCAATGTTCCTATTTGTTAAATCCTCGGTAGTTAATGAACTTCAGTTTTTTCTTCATAAAAGCAGAGCAAATTCATTATTCTTAATGGTTTCGTGAATTGCATGAGTTCAATTAATTAAAAGTTGGGATCTTTTAAAGTGTTTTAGAAGCTGTTACTAACTTAACGGTTGGAAATTATGGGGCAAAGGAACTTTGATTGCAGAAGTCATACCGCGAGTCGCGAACTGGCGAAGCGCCTCTTAAAATGTTTTGAGCAAGAATTATTACGACCGCTTAACTTGTAACTTGTGCGACTGAACATGCAATTAGATTTCACCATCTGCTTTATACTATGGCTGTGTCGTTTTGTAAAAACTTTTCGTTATTTTCTTAGAGGTAAAGAGACGCAGACAAACTGATGCATAGCTAAGGACTTATGCAAATAAAGTATTCAGCAACCCATCCATGGTTTTATAATCTTTTGTAACACTTATCTATCAGAACCTTCTTCGTGCTTCTTCATTTCAATAAACCTGTACAAAACACCCGGCGTCTAAGTCGTACCTATATAATATAGTACCTACGTGTTAACATATCTAAGTTGGCTAGTCAAAGAGTCGTGGGTGATTATAAATCAACGTCGCGTGCGGGATTGCGCCGGCACTTTGTCCTATCAAGTGGGAGTCGCGTGCTCATTGGCAAGGAAACGAGAGCTGCGTCCGAGACGAGCTTTTCAATCCTGAGGAATTTTACAAGGAGTTAAGAAAAGATTATGGTTACATTAAGAAAATATTATGTACCCAATATGACGTACTCAGTTCTTTTAAGCTAGGTTGGTAATATTGCTTGGCTCTAACTCTTGGATCAAACATCTGATAAAAAGTGAGTGGATACCTACTGAAAAAGTCTTATTACAATTTTTTTTAATAAATAAAATACATTGTAGTTTCCTACCTAATAACTGATCCGCTTTGACCAAAAAATTATTTCTATAGAATAGAACTTAAAGAATCTTAGTTACTTGGGTTAGACTCACAATAGGGAAAAATAACCATTAAGTACCTACTTAAATAAAAACATTTAGAAAGATACGTCTACAACTATTTTCAAAAAGATAAACATTTTGAAAGTAAACGTTCAGAAAAAATAGGTCTATGTGCTTATTCTGTAATTTTTGCGTCTGTTGTCTTTAGTGTTGCCCAAATGCAAGAACAAGACGAGACTTAGCCAGTCTTGGTCTTGGTCTTGCGCCAATACACCTGGTCTTGGTCTTGGTCTTGGTCTTGCGCTCCCAGTCTTGGTCTTGGTCTTGGTCTTGCAGCAAGAGTCTTGCAGGTCTTGCAATTACCTATTAGTCTATTTCTATTTATTAAAGTTTACTTTAAATCTTAGAAAAACGTATTAGAATTGGAACATTGTGAGCTTGAATTAACATAGCCATAGTAAAGATCAAGCAGATTAATAAATAACTGAAGATTTGATAAGAAATTCGAAAAATCAACTGACCTATATGTCGTCTTCCATGGAAGTAACTGTTTCTTAATAAACATTTATGATTTATAAGCTTATATTTGCTAAAACATGTAAAAAAACAAATTAATTACAATAACTTGACTGTATTTTAAAGAACAATACTTATCTGTCTAGAAAGAGATTGAACCCTCAACTTATAAGAAATTTAATAAAATAGTTTTATGATTTATCATTTATTTGAATAAAAAATAAAATACAACACAAATCAACAGCTTTATCATTAGGTTATGATACTTTATATCAATTTTTTGACCAAGAATTAATACAAAGTAACCATCTGGCTGACTCATCACTTAACCTATTTTTATGTTTTCTAATTAGGTACTAATGATGCTTTAGAAAATAACCTCTCAGCAGTTTCAAGTATATTTAAAAGTGGCTACAATATTTATTAAACGGGTGACATCTGAACACTTTTTTGCTATTTTTTCTTGTCAAAACTTAAAAAATATAATGACTAAATGTAGGTACAATAATAGTACCTAAGTAATTAGTTTAAAACCACTTGTAATCAATATTATAATATATACTTACTAGAATGAATTAATATGACATCTACTACCTATCGTTACCATTTTATCCTAATCATAATGCTACTTGCGTGATCAGTATAATGTATTCATTTTCATTCTAAGCACTCTGAAACTTATTTTTCTTTGGAACACCTGTAGCTACTCTTAAAATTCGAAATTATTTTGCATGAGTATACCTACGCCCTATGGCAGCAATCAAATAGTCAAATGTCAAATGTTATGATTTCGGCGTGGCGGCAACGATTGTTTTAGATTTCAAAAGAAGCCGCGCATGCGGCCGCTTTGCCGCGTGTATCATAACCATGTACTTCCGAAAAGCGGCAAACATGCATGCACTCAGTTTGATTTTAATAGATATTTTTTATTCGCTAAGTTTTTAGTCGTAATGCGCATAGGTCCAGTTTTCATATTCTTTGATACAGTTTTTTGCGTCTCATAGAATGCCTAAGCGTAGGTACCTACCTATACACCGGACTGTTACACCTAACTACTCAGTGAAATAGCGCTAAGTCCTAGCTGCAAGACGCAAGAGTCTTGCAGGCTATGTCTTGTTCTTGCTCAAGTCTTGCACGGTCAGTCTTGGTCTTGGTCTTGCTAAAAATACGCGGTCTTGTTCTTGGTCTTGGTCTTGCAAAAACGCAAGAACAAGACCAAGACTGCAAGACCAAGACTGATTTTGGGCAACACTAGTTGTCTTTGACCGTCTTCGTAGTCATTGGTTGGATTTTAATAAAAAAGTAGATATAGGTACGTTTCTATAAATACGTTTGCACGCAAAGATTTCTTAGACATAAATTTCAAATTATGAACGAGGTCAGTGCAATTTCTTTTTCTCTCTCTATTTAACTCATAAATATTTATGTAGGTAGAATTTAAAGTTCTAAATTCTTATAGATTTTAGTTAGGCCTATATAGGTATACCTCAGCTTTAGCCGCTTTGTTTAAGAATGCTACACACGTACAACCATTATAAAATTACTTATGTAGATTAAATAATAGTAGATATATTGGACAAGGGTCATTTTATACCTACCCAAGAGAGTGCCCACAGATACATATAAATGCTAATAAATTTTCAGACATTAATCAAAGCATAGATCCTGCCACCGACACGAGTGTTCTTTGGGGCTTTCTAATTTAATTTATGGTAATGTTGAGGCCTATTCTATTACGCCGTCTGCAGAATTACTAAATATACTTATTTAAATTAGCTGTATTACCTACTCATATACACATAGACAGTACAATTGTAACTAACAGAAATCTATTTATCTTTTTTTCAGTAGGTACAATTGGACAATGTAGGTAGGTACTTACGGTAGTTTAAGTTTAGAATTGTAAATGTATGAAATCGCAGTATATGACTCGTAAGCGTAAGTGCAATAAGGTAGGTACCGAGGTAAAAGAAGGGGTGTCAGGCCAGCCCTTCTTTTGTCTCTCTATTAGATAGATATTTAGAAGCAGGTAACAACAATATTATACCAATACTAAGTATGACTTACATTACCACTTAAATGAATTTCTATACTCAGTATTCTGTCTTTATAAGATAATCAAGTTGCAAGGAACTCGATTTGGTAGTTATATTCAATGGTTGAAGTTACTACAAGAATTGGGGGCTCGTATAAATCAGTGTCGGTCGAGCAGCCCCGTACTACGTGTCAGACACCGTAATAATATTATACAAACAAACCTTCGGTCTAAACTCATCCCTCACCTCAAAGTAAGCAAATGGTTTTAAGTAAAGATAATTAATTAACATGAAGTAATGGATGACAAAAATTAACTGATTATTATTAATCGCTGTAAAAAAAAATAGATCTAAATTGTGGTCTCGACTTCAACTGTCGTACAGAGACCCAAGGTCACACAGCGCGCGATGGAATGAGTCACGCTCGGGGTTTCTTTGCGCGACAAAATCTGAAATGACAGGCCTCCCGCTAGGGACCGACGACATCGTCAGAGCCACGGGCAATCAATGGATGCAAGTGGAGAGTTGTCGTTCGACGTAGACGTTCAGAGGATTTCTTGTTCTTATAAGTAACTTCAAAAAACTAAAAACGGCCCAATAACAATACAAT